AAATTTCAGATCAATCTGACAACGGCAAGGTGCTTAAATTTCAATTTCTAATTTTGACCCAAACAAACAAATTCCGTACGGGTCGAGCTAAATAAAACCGTATAAAAACGTTGGCTACATTAAAATATTGACATCGGTTAATCAGTACTTAGGAACTGTGCATGTTTCATTGTCAATAAATGCACTGATTCATAGATTACACGTGATATCATCGTGCGTCAGCGTCATCATTGCCTAATAATTCAATATTCTTAACAAGTTATTAAACATCGCGAATAGTAGTGTTGTTTTTTGATAGTGACTCTGAATATAACCGTTTTTTGCATATAATTGAATTTTATATTATCTTGTGTTTGCGTAATCAGTTTTTTATCGTAAATTAATTATTTTCGGAGTGGAATTCTCGTAACGGATTGCTCAACTTAGGTAACGCCTCGTGAATAAATTGCAACTACGACCTTATCACTTCCCGTAGGAACCTTATTTCGTGTCTTGTAGTTGGAGATTCCCTTGAACGTTGAATTGTCCATATTGCTAATAGGGGTTGCGATGATGCAGATTGCTGCTTAGAAACTACAGCGTCATCATTCGTAGTCGTGCAACAGTTGCGTTGTTTCGTCCGAGTCCGCGTGTCCTCTGCACATTAAAGCTAAATCGAACACAATGTCTTTCATTGTGTTCCAATTTTAAAATCATATCATCAGAATGAGAATTTTTATGAGAAGTTATACTTCTTTTGGCGCGTTTGGAAAAATGATGATAGCGAAATGTTTTACAATGCGCGTGCACACCGACCCACTAAAAAGGATGTGGTGCACCAATTAACAAGAAAAAAAATTTTTGGCATATACCAATAATTCCATTTCCCAGTTATTAAAATAAACCGTTATTAATTGCATTTAATGTTTTTACTCTGAAGAAGTATAACTTCTTACGTGCATAAGTACACACATATTTATATTTTTATAGAAAATCCAACTCTGTTTCTTCCATTCCTTCCGAGCGTATGGTGTGAGATAATGATGTTTTAATAATAGATGACGCATGTCCACACTGTGCTAAAATTGAACCACTTTACATTATATGACATATAAAAGTGAATGTGACATATGATATAGAATGCGTAATACGGAAAGAGATAGTAGTCTATATAGTTGCAATCTAATGACACCAACTGGTGTAATTTGAGTGCCACAGTTTCGGTGCGACAGTGTCATATCTACATTGTATTTGTATTTATATTTATGTCATTGCTTTTCGCCTCTTTCCTTTGTCTTGCGACTCGTTTTTTTAGAGGATTGTTTCATCCCGTCGTTGCTATATTTTTTCGATTCTTTCGCTGCACCCTTGGGTGAAATAAAACGTCTGTTCTTGCTCCTTCCTGCGGGAGTTAGTAGTTTTGATTCTCTTGTCTCCGACGTGACAATTCTGCTGTAGTGTAAAATTACTTTTTTCCAGGTTATCGCTTGCACTCAAGGTCTTTCTTCTTTTCCTGTTTTATGTTTTAACACGATAAGCGGACAATTTTCTTTCAGTTAAGTATAACTAAGCATTTTTTTTTCTTATTCAGCATTGAATTTTCCTGCTGATCGTTGTGTTATTGTCCCGATTTTATAAACATTGCCAATGGACCATTTATGACATGGTCCATTTTGTTACTTGCTATGTCCAAGACTACAGAATTAAGAGCCTTCATATTCTTTTTCTTTTCTAGTATCTCGAAAATATGTTTCATCCGTATGGCTGCTTATCTAGGATTTCCATATCTTATCTAGATTTCTTGTTGTTGTTCGTTTTTATATGTAGGTTAGGTTTTCGTTCCGACAAGGTTGAATTTAAGTTAATTTTAATTCAATATTATGTGGACATAATGTTGTAGTGGTAGCTTTTGTTTTCATTCCTTAAATTATTTTTAACAGCTTATAATAATGTATATGAATGTATATGTAATGATATACGACCATGATAGCTCAGTGCCGGGCGCTCGCTTTGATTTCGATAGCACCTGGATGAACAATGACTCATAAAATTTTGTAGGTTCGGGGTTGCTGATAACTCGACCAAATTAAAAAATTTAATATATCAATATTAGATCAGACTAATTTTTCATATAAATTCTAAATTCTTTAAAAATACCTTTTAAGGTTATAATTTTATAAAAGATTCTCAAACTAGCCTTTTTCTTCTCAAATTCTGTGAAACTAACCCTTCGTTTAGGTACGAATTTAGTTGTTTGCTTTTTGATGGAAATTTGCTAGAAAATACGGAATTTTTAAGGTGTATAACATTTATACGGTAAGGTCACTGTTCAAGATAACAATTTTTACACATTTAGTGATAATTCACTTCGATTTATACACTATTTTATTATTAAACACAATACCCGTACCCTTTTACCTGTTTATAATTCGAAGTAAATATTAATAGTATTTTTAAATATTAAAGGGACCTATTAAATTATATCAAAATCTGAAAAAATGAAATCAATCCATATTTTCCTATCGTTTAATGCAGCATGAAAATATCCTGTGGATAACAACGCCAGAGAATTTTTTTTATGAAAACAAAATGCCTTCATTTTAGTATCTCTATTTCATTAATAATGGGGTTTTTTAGACTGTTGTAGGGCCACGCACGAATGGGCAGGTCCATCCGCGTAAGTACCAAGACCTCAAGAAGACCGGCGTGAAGTGGAAGTGTTAGTACTTCTGCGTTTCCTCTGGTGCGTGAGGTAGCCGGGGCCCACTTTCTTTAAAGGCGGCACCGCATCTGCGTCCCTACGAGTGTCGCAAATGTCAATGGACGGCGGTTATCACTTAGCTTTAGGTGAACCGCCGGCTCGTTTGCCTCCTTCTTTCATAAAAAGAGTGGACATTCAATAGAATAACACAAAATTCTTACCGAATGTCACCACGGACGAAAGCAAAACAAAATACGTCAAGCTTTTAAACATGGCTGATGCTACGGTAACACTGATCGATTAATGGCGTTTAATTTATTTATGCATGAGTTCTAATCGGTATTGATAAATTATTAATATGATAAAGTTCATTAAATATCGTGAGATCCGGGCAATATTATATTTAAAATAACCTGAATACGATATTTTAATGTGATAAAATGAAGCGTAAAAGTAAGTATCAGCCTAAGGTATAGGCTGATACTTACTTTTACGTATATTATTTTTTCGCCAATAACAATTAAGTTTGTACAGATATAGGCCTGTTACATTTTTATTTTTTGTATAGATTTTCTTGTTTACAAAACTGATCACTTACTACAAATAGTGTGAATTCACAGACAGAATTATCACACTTGGGAGGAATGTTTTAAAACGAAAAGAACGAAAGTTAATATGAGTCACCTTCGTTTTACCATTCTTTTCATTTTTTATTAATAGAATTGATGACTCCGTGTCGCAATTGCCAAGGTATTGGCTACGGCGTCGGGGGTCGTGGGTTCGATTCCCACACGGAAAAACTATCTGTGTGAACCACAGATAGTTGTTTCGAATCTGGGTGTTTGTCCATGTGGAATTTATGTTTGTAAAACGTCCTTACAACACAGGATAATGTTATCCCAAAGTGATAGTGTTTAAAAAAATGGGTTAATATATTGACTGTTGTATGTTTTTATAACTGGCCATTTAGAAACATTGCCAATAAAAACAATGCATTTTCTCTGATCTTTTAAATTTTTAAACAACTACAAAAAGGAGTAGGTTATCAAATCGGATGTTTAAATATATTTTTTTAAATTATGTTCAGGCATAACTCCGTGTTATATAGACGGATTGGCAAAATGATAATTTTGTTCGAATAGGTTATATTCCTAAATGGTCCCATTTAAATTTCATTTAGATCTGATGATGAATTTCGGAGATAAAAAACAGAACTCTTAAAAAAATTACAAGAAATCAACCGCGATGGCTGTTATCGCATAAGGATGCATTGTTTTGTAATCACACAAAATAACATCAGGTCTGTAACTCAAAAAGTTTAAGCAGATGTATTCAGTCTAGCTGAGAATGCTCATGATGCTGATGAATGCTTTGCCAAATTCTAAGTCCAAATATTGTTAAATTATGTTAGAGGTTAGGTTATATAGGTTAGATTTTTGATTATATTAGAATTAGTATTATTATTAACTTTTTAATGCTTATTGACTTTTTTGAAGTCGGTTATTTTTACTTTTTTTACGTACGTAACTTAATTTGTTTTCTTATCGAATTATTAATTGTTATTATAATATAATATTAGTATTTAAACATATATAGTCTATTGATGTAGCTTTTGCTACGCTATGTGTCATTGTTATAACTCCGTTCTGTCTGTGACACATCATTATTACTTCTGCAATGCCATGCCGTCACTGTCACGATAAGGCGGAAAGTTTTTTCTAGGATGCCACGATCTAGATTAAATTTAGGACTGCAGCTTGCTACTAGCTTGTAGAATCTAGAACTTCACGTTCACGTTCGTGACGATTCCCACCCCGCTAGCAAAGCAGAAGCGCTCCACTTCGGGGAGCAAACTGTTGACCAGCCTATCGTCCTTACGGTTAAGTTTATGGCTACTGAAAGAGGAGAACCTCCATCCATACAATCACAACGATATGGATAGTCCCGTATTTCCGCAGCACGAGAGGCTCTGACCCGCTGGATTGGCTCCGTCGCTGATGCTTTTGTTCCTCTGGAGATCCCGGAATCCCTCCAAATGAACTATGGTTGGCCACCGAGGGAGTTAAGTCAAACATTACTTAAGAAGACAAGGTATATTTTTAACACTACCCATTTAACAGCAAAACAGAGCACAACAAACCATTTACTTATTTGTATACTTCTGATCTATCTTCAGATCTATGCAGAAGCCGTTTACATAATTACAAAATATAATATTGTATTGAAGAATATAAAAAAATATTCATTTTACGTTCACAAAAATACGTGATGCGGCAACGTATTATCTCCAAGAATACTAATATCAGTAGATGCAGGTCTACGGGTCACACAGCAGACTGTTGGGGCTTTTCTCGCAGATGAAGGCGTTCTTGCTCTCGCACGGGACGTCGTTGAAGAGTGCCGTTTTGTACACGCCTACGCAGAACTCGCCACTGGCGGAGCCGTTGTTGGGCTCACCGCCAGAGAACTTGGAATAACCGGCCTCCGCTAGCGTTTGGCCTATGAAACCCAGTTAACAGATTCAAATGTTTCATTTTATTTTTTTGGACATACATAACATTTGCAAGAAGCAACAGTCAATATTTTTATTTCTTAAAACCCATGAAATTTTGGTGATGCCGAACTTACCAAAGGTGCCCACGTATAATCATTTCATTTGAACTGATTAAATCAAGTATATACAACTACTGTTTGCTTTATGCGTTTATACTATGCTTTTTATGTATTTAAGACCTTCACTGTACTATCGGATGACAGTTCACCAAGTAAATAGGCCGCTGTCTAGAAAATGGTATTTATTTTTCAGTTACAAGTTGATGTAAATTGATAGGCTTTCCCGGCTCATTTACACAACAGGGTAAAATTGTTAAAGAGGTACATACACAATGAGATCTTGAGTACAATACAGAAGTATAATTCGTAATTCTTTGAGAAAGGAAGAAATCGAGGAGTAGTTGAAGTGTCTTAGTTCAACCTGACAGTGAAATCATATGGGTCGATCGACAAAGTTGTTAAGATTTCGACTTTAATTTCGCGGATCTAGGGCAAGAGATTCGTATGACAAATAAATAATTAAAGTGATAAATCTCATTGTTTATCCATGTCTAACTTAAATACGTAAATAAGTAACCTTCACGTAGAAAAGGAATATTTTCTGCCCAGGTGAATGTTTCAAGCAAGTCTTACATATAAGCTTGTGGATTACCATGGACGGTTAGCCACTCGCCGTGCTCGTTCCAATCATAGATGCCGGCGTAGGCGAGTTCACCGGAATGCTTCGCGAAGATCTCCTTGACCACTTGGGCCTCGCGGTCGCTGTTTATGACGACCAGGTGGCCACCCTCGGCGGCGCACACCATGGACGCACGGGACCACGTGCGCGGCAGCGTGTGGAACTTGTAGCAACTTCCAGTTTCCGCGTCATAAACGTACTCTGCAATAACAGTGTTACGTAGATACACTCTTTAATCCAAAATCTGTGTTATAGTACATCTTTCAAACCACAAAAGATCGAAAATTAAACTTAAAACAAATGTAATTTTCTACAGTGATGTTAAAATTGTGTTAATATCGATTAAAATACGATAAGTGTCGTAACAAGTGCGTATGTACCTTTCACTAAACTTTTCACCAGGACGACTGCACTGTCATTATACATGAAAAACATGGAAGTAAGAAAGAAAGTTAATTTTTCAAGATTATCCCACTTAGATGCCGTCGGACGAACATGCGAATCATGTTGTAAGCGGTTTTAGCTTTTTACGACCAGCAGCCTGCCTTACGTCAACCCTCCTTGCGAAACCTTCTCTAGTTGGGTGACACTATTAGTGACCCTTCCCTTCCGACCAGGTTCCCACAGTGAAGCCAAGAGGTGCTCACACTTGGCCGGCCTGTGGTGCAAGTTCGCCCCGTGCTGTTACGACAGTGCACGTTGATCGATTACCACCAAATTTCCCACTTTCGATACACGCAGGGAGGATATGGGAGACAAGTTTGTAGATTGTAGGAAAACCGAGGTGAAGTCGCGGGAAAGAGCGAGCAACGCTGTTTTGTACTCAGTTCGGCATAACCCGGGCATACGTATGCGTTACCTTCAATTAAACAAATAAAATTGTTTATCAAAGTAAACTTTTATTTCTTATGCGATTGCCTGGCGATTGTATTAATAAATAAATACAAAATAACATGTTTATATAATTATAAAGCACCACAATCTTGTATCGCCACTCTTGTATCCCGACATTTTGGAGCCCTAAGACATTCTAAGACACGTCAGTTTATATAGTTTTAATTAACTGCCCAGGCGTATGCTAATAATACTGATAAGGTCATTTATCTCAAAGGTATTAATCGAATATAACTTTCACTACTTAAATGTAGAGTGTTAAAGAAACATATAAATGTATATTTACCTTTGTCAGTAGTACCACAACCGGACACAAACATCGTCTCTGTTTTTTCCTTATAGCAGATATAGGGCAAAGGTTGCTGGCAGTCTACGTCTGCTATGCTACCGTCAAGCAACAGAGCTATGCAGCTCTCCTCATCCTTGAAGTTGTCGGGTTCTCCGACAGCCCAGGTATGTGGTATCTTCCACAGGGGAACTCCTGAACAAGTAATGTTGCATTACTGTGGGATTGCATTTTACGTAATGTGTCCCTAGGTTTACATTGAAAATTCAAGAGAGAGATGACGCCCTCTGTATTGAAAATTGTGATTGATTTTATTTTTAGACGGACCTGCCTATTCGTGCAACAGCGAAGACTATTGCGTGGCCCAATCACAGTAACTCCCAAAGTGACCTTTTTTCGCAGACAACATATTCTTGTTTACTGGTGATTTCGCAATTTCTCTCGTTATATATTGTTCTTTGCTGTTCTCTGTTGCGTCTGTGCTGTCGTTGCTGGCGTCTTTTCTTAGCTGTTCTTTTTTAGGCGGAAATCTTGCAGTGCCCTATGCCCTAAAAAGTGCCCATAATACTACATCGTATTGGGGACGACACGCCATTACGGGTGTGTATCACCTAGTTTATCTTTGTCCAATTAGAGCGCTTTCCTCGCCAACACTTTACAAAGGGCGCGCGCTCTGATTGGCCGTTTATTAGCGCGTTCTTATTGGATAACAATTTTATAAAATAGTACTACAAAACAATAATTTTATAGTTTGAAACAATTAAGTGTGTGACTTTAAAATTAAATGATGTTTGAAACTTATCAAACACGAATATTAAATTAATCTTATGTTAAGCTGTGAGTACGTGAATATTGCCAACAATACATATATAGGTATAACTATTTATACCTCTTAAAATAGTAGTCCTTGGCGACGCTCAATTGAAAAAGTTAAACGGTCGAGAGAGAAATTTACGATTTTACTTTGTACTTTTTTTTTGTGTCGGGGGTTTTTTAATCTCAATTTGGAACACAATATTTCAAATATAAAAAAAAGCTTTCCTAAGCGCAGGGCGCCCTTGATGATAAATACGCACCTTCGATCGATTGGAAGTCTCCCTTTGAGAAAAACGCGTGGATGCCGGTGAAGACACCGCACGACATGTCACTTGTTTCCTCATCGATCAGAAATTTCATGGCGTTTTGGAAGCTGCTGTTCAAGGGAGACGCGAGATTGCCTCCTGAAAAAATATTACAATAGATGAACATATATACAATAGATGAAGAGGACTTAAATTAAGGCGCTTTTAATTTTTATGCCAAATGGCGGGAACGTGCAAATCTCACATATGTACAAAAGTAGCGACAATTCCTATTATTCCTTTCTAAGGTTCGCTGCGAAAGGTTTAGTTAGAAACCGTCCCAACTTCGTTATCCTCTATTGAATACTCTAAAATGTACCACAGAGAAATAAATTACCTTCGAGGTGGCATCTTAGACGAGCTTCGAACCAATTGGAAGGCACGCGGTGCAATTTCAGCCAACCCTGAACGTCCTGGGAATATCGGTAGTCGCAGCGAAACTGATTGTCATCTATAAACCGATGAAGTATGGTTAGAAAATTGACATGTTTATTTTCATTTTCGTACAGCGACAACAGCTACCACGAGAGTTCCTGTTGCATTAATAGGTACCCCCTAACATGAAGTAAAAGTATTTATATTTATGCCCTTCGTTCGGTGAGAGGGGTAACCAGCGGCCCAAATGTCGTGAAAATGGGCGGCATCTCGTCTGCAAAAAGCTGAGTTGCTCTAAAGCTTATAGTTTTAGAGCCTCTCAGTAATTACCCTCACTTAGGTGATCACAGATAAAGGAAAATTATCTTGCAGAACTCAACAGAGTTTTATGGATAATCCCAATAATTTCAGTTATGATATGGGGATTTTCACTGTCTGCTTTTGTTTGTCGTGATAGCTCGCTGTCCGGGCGCTCACTAATTCAATATACTCGAGCAACCTGAGTTCAATCACCGGTGCTACCACCAAAGAAATTGTTAATTTTAAGTGTTGAATTATCAAGTGCTCAGCGATGAAAGAATACGTCGAGAAAATTTAGAAAAAAAATCGAAGATATGTTAAGTCTACCAATACGCTGCGGTTTTGCATGGTGGAATGTGCTTTAATACCCTCTATACAGAGGAGGCCTTTGCCCAGCGTTGGAATTTATATAGGCTGTTCCTTTCCTTTTATTTTTGTCAATGTATATTTTCTTTTTGTATACTGGTGAGCATTTTCAACGATGTCAGTCGTGATAACCGTATTGTAGTTTCAACGTATAAAAATCAAAGTCTCTCGTGTAGTCTAACCAAAATGTTACGTCTTACTGCATTCCTTTGAAAGAAAGAAAGAAAGAAAGAAAGAAAGAAAGAAAATAAATTTATTTACCATAAAAAGGACGCACACCATAAAAGAGAAAGAAAACTAAAATTAACAAAAAAATAAAAAAATAACAGATACTTATAAATATTTCAGTAAAGCGAAAGAACACAAATACTTACATAATTAAAATATACATAAATAAATAGAACTTTAAGAAACCATAATAAGCGTGCAAACGCCCTATTCCGGTGAATTAGGTTAGCAGCTCAGCATTATGCTATGCCGGAAGTCAAGGCCCCAACACAGCGCTGATTTTCAGTGCTAACCTTCTAGTTTCCTAATACTTCTATGCCTTACTGGCCCATACACAGCTTTTTCTATTAGTTGTTTTATAACTTGTATGTGATCACTGTTGCACAAATGGGCAGGTCCGTCCGGGTACCACGACCTCACAGAAGGCCGGCGTGAAGTAGAAGTGTTACACTTCTGCGTTTCGTCTGGTGAGTGAGGACCGGTGCTCACTTTATTACAAGGTATGGCAGCGCATATGCAAAGCTACGTGTTTTTCTAATATCCATGGGCGGCGGTTATCACTTACTTAGGTGAACAGCGAGCTCGTTTGCCACTTTTTCACATAAAAAAGAACTACTTTTTTCTTAGGCTCGGTCCTTCTTCTTTTCCTTTTTTAGCACACTAGGTCCAGAATATTCTAATTATAATAATAAATAAACAACAGAATTTTTTCCCGGTACTATTAACATTGGCAATTGCCCATTTCTGGCATTTCCATTTTGTTACTTATTATTAATGAAGATATCTACATTCTATAGTCTTGGAGGAATATCCTTCCTCATTCATATCCTTTTTCTTTTTTGTGTCATTTATTAATTGTTTTATATTTTGTTCGAATTCGTTCGTATCTGAATTAAATGTCACATCTACATAGCTGATTGTCGATAATTTCTTTTTGTTGTCCAACTTTTATTTCTACGTGTTTAGTTTTGTTTTCGATAATGTTGAATATAAGTTAGATTTATATTAACTTATTGTTCTATTAATAATTGTGTCATGTATTATATATATTTCTAATGTTTTGTTCCGTCTTATTCATGAGCCGTGATAGGTCAGTGCTGGGGCACTAGCTTTTAATTCAATATACTCCAGTTCAAACCCGGCGCCGGCACCAATGAAGTTCTAAATTGCAATTTTAACTGCTGACTTATGCGTGCTCAGCGGTGATGGAAAACTTCGTGAGGAAACTTCTCGGAGATATTTGAAGTCTGCCGTATATCTTCATGGCTAGAACTTTGTTGAATTTAATTTTAATTTTTTGTGCTAGTCTCATTTAAGATTACATTTTAAGAATTTTATTGATGTTTTAATTAGATTTTAACAAAAAAACACTGCTATTATAATAAACCGTTGATTGGAATACAGGAGATAACTGTACAGTTTAGTACTTTACGACTTTATAAAAAATGCATAATAATATCGTTTATTGCATAGGAAAAGACTGTCTGCAACAAAGAGCCTGTCCTTGAACACGAATATCTTAAAACATGATGTGATTAGACTAGTGTGCCAACTTTTTAAGCGTCAAAACAAAATTATGTATACTTTATTGTCTTATTGCCATATGGCTGGCCTATCCTGTTAAATCGATAAAAAATACAAATACGTTAGCACGAACACAAATACGATAAAAACTGTATCTGTATGTAATTACCAATTGGTAATTATATAAAATACATGTTATACATTATTGGATACCATTAATTATTCAAGTTTGCAAAACATAAACACTACATCGTAAAAAATGAAGACCGGTTTTCGCCTTCTATAACTTATAATAATTAATATAAATAGTAAAGTTGATATCGGTAATATTTTGCATGCTATATAAAAATTAGCATAAAATGTGGTACAGTATTATGATATGACACCTTGTGAAACCATGTTATAAGCAAATAAATATATAAATAACTCGAATCAATTAAAAAATTAAATATTACCTTAGACTAATTTTTCATAACACTCAAGTGTATTTCTTTACCTCATAAACATCGTTTAGGTTCGAATTTAGTCGTTTGCGGTTTAAATACTAGTAAATATGGAATTTTTAAGGTGTATACCACTGTTATTTTCACACGTTTAGTGTTGATTCACTTCGATTTTTACATTATTTTATTATTAAACACAATACACTCCTTACTATTTACCTTTTAATAATTCGAACAGAATTTTAATCGTATAAAAGGGGCATATTAAATTCTATGAAAATCTGAAAATATTAAAATTAAATCCAAATATTCCTATAATTTAATTCAGCCTTAAAATATCCTGTATCGTATTAAAGGGGCATATTAAACTCTATTAAAATCTGAAAATATTAAAATTAAATCCAAATATTCCTATAATTTAATTCAGCCTTAAAATATCCTGTATCGTATTAAAGGGGCATATTAAACTCTATCAAAATCTGAAAATATTAAAATTAAATCCAAATATTCCTATAATTTAATTCAGCCTTAAAATATCCTGTGGATAACATAGAAAAGAAAAGCATCACAACTTCAAGAGTAAATAGTAACGTAGGCGACCACTGCTTTTTTTTTAAAATATGCTCATCGCAGCATTTCCGTTTGGCTCATCGATTAGGACTGAACATTCAATAGAATAACACAAAACACTTAATTACTTACCGACCGTCATCACGGACGAGAGCAAAACGAAATACGTCAAGCTTGTAAACATGACTGATGCTACGGTAAGACTGATCGGATAGTTGCGCCGATACTTAATTTATTTACGCATTTTCTACAAAACTGATCACTTACACAGTGTGAATTCACAGGCAGCTTTGTTACCACACGCGTCGGAGGACTGTTTTAAGCGAAGAGCGCTTTCCGGCTAAAACATTCTACTATGCCGACTGCGATACTTCACTGTCGCAATTGGCTCTATCCAGTGGCGGATAAACTAATTAGCATGAGTCAGCAAATGCTACGGTACGCCTAGGAGGCTCCCGCGCCTGTACGCAAAAAACAAAACTATATGTAAGCCGAAATAAATCTACCACTCAGTAACAATGTTCAGAAAAGAACCGTCTAAAACTCTGTTGTCAAATACTCTATATAAAAGTATTTTTTATAATGATAAAAGTTTTTTTAACGAGTTATTCCATACGTCCATGTCTTGCATATAGGTATAATACAAAGCAAAGAGTAGGGTTCCAGACGAAGATCGTGAGGTTTAGTTGATGCGAGGTGAAGGTGGATTCTCCAACATACTTATACAGAGTTACTTAAAAATATGTGGAACGCTTTTTTTTTAAACTAATTACAGATAGAAATAACTGATTTAATTATTACATAATTTTTAGCGATTGTGAAAGCGCGTATCTTTTAGAAAACATTTTCATTTTTTATATTTTTATCGGAATCACACAGTTTATTTTTTTGCACTTTAATTTTTCCTGTTTTAGCAGTCGCTTATTTCGTGTTACTATTTCCAGTCGTTTTAGTTTTTATTATCGTTGACCTTCATATTGTTCCCATGAGTAGCGAACATGGCCACTTGCGATATGAAAATTTAACCACTCCCATACCATTCAGACCTCGGCACGTTAATCATCTTGGCTATGGTTGTATATTTCAAGCTGCACAGCGCTAAAAGCAGTCAAACAAGCTAAAACTCGCGCGATTTACAAGTAGCCACTAAAGAATTGCACTATCCAGATCTTGGCTCCATCATCAGATCAGCTCCACAACACCAAATTATAGTTTCGCTATCCGAATTATATATCCATCAGTTTCATTACGATACGACAATTAGAAGTAGAGTAAAATTGATTTCCAATATTCATTACATTGTCAGCTTATTTTTAACTTACGACCCGCCCCGGCTTCGTATGTGTGGAATCTATTATACATATAAACCTTCCTCTTGAAGCACTCTATCTAGTAAAAAACAAAACCGCATAAAGATCCATTGCGTAGTTTTATGGATCTAAGCATACATAGGGACAGACAGACAGCGCAACGACATTGTTTTATACTATGTATTGATAAATAAATAATTCATTTGGGGTGCAGAGAATAGTACTAAATATAAAAATTAATCTTAAAAAAAAAGTCAATAAACATATAAAATATCGTGTAACTCGACTAGACTCGACTGCCATCATGTGAATGTGAATACTTTATAATCAGAATTATGAAAATAGGTGCGTTCATACAAAAAAAAATAGTTGCCCATTAGTAGATGATCTCATAGGTTGTCTTAAATACGCCTGTTTGGAATAAGTAAATAAGAGTTTAGGTTACACCAAGGTTATTAAGCTAAGATTTTTCTCAGTCCGCTCGCGATCGGCAAAGTAGAAAAATACGTAATGGTGATTATGCGAACAGCTCAAACACGGTATAAGGGTTCTCCTTCACTTTAAGTATTATGGCCATCGCTCACTTTTAACTCATACATAGTACAATGGGTTGCATTAAATCTGTTTTACTCATAGAAAATTATATACATGGTGCATAAAATGGTGATTTTTCGAGTGTTATCTAACTTCCCTTGATTTGGTCACCGAAAGTCTTTTTGTAAAGGATCCGTTTTTAAATTCTAAATTTCAATACATAATACAATTTCAGGGGCATACTTTCTATGGACCGTATTTGTTATAAGACCATCCTTAATTTCATTTAACGTTTTGATTGTTATTCCGTGACAATTTTTATTGTTATCATTAATTTACACTTCATCGACGAGTGAAAGGTAAATAAAAACATTTCATTTATCAAATAAAATGCAATATTCAAGCAAAATAGTGATTTTCTATTTATTGTCTTATGGGTTTAGTATATAAGCTTCATAGCTCGATATATTTTTTGCGAATGGCAATATATTACTATAAACTTTCACACGTAAATGAAATAAGTAATGTTATGAGCAATTACATCTCGCCCGACAAGTTATGTTTTTCTATATTCATTGATAACATCACGCACACGTAAGTGCTGCTGTGTGTGTAGATGCTATGCTTTCTCTCTTATTATAGTCAAACTAATACTTCTGTGGTATGGCCTCGATGATTTCTTTTTCTTATGTTAAAAGGTGCCAAACGAGCAGACGGTTCACCTGATGGTAAGTGAATACCGCCGCCCATGGACATCTGCTACACCCGAGGGTTACAGATGCGTTGACAACCTTTTTAAAATTGGACTCCGGCTACCTCACTCACCAGGCGTAACGCGAAAGCATTTGTCATGCTTCCACTTTACACTGGTCTTATGTGAGGTCGTGGTACTTACCCGGACGGGCCTGCCCATTCGTGCAACAGCCGAGGCTGCTGCGTGGCCCTACCACCGTACTTGGTTGGCCCTACCACCGTATTTTTATCGTTAACTTTAAATATTTTAGTTTAGGTACGTATTAAATAAATAATTTAGTATAATGGAGATATTTAATCGTTTTCTCTTCTGGTTGGGTTTTTAAATAAAAATAATTTGTAATAATTCTTAATTTAATTTTTAATATAATAATTAATTTAAAATAACATGCAAAAATAATAATTATACTATAATTAAAAAAAGTATTATTATTATGTATGACACAAACAACAGTAACAGACGGGTACCAGAGTTTATAAATCTAAGTAGCTAGTAATTAGCTTAATAGGAGTTTTGCCGAACAATGCAATGGTTTCACATCCTTTAATTTCCTCGGAGTTGGTAATTCGATTATGTCTCTCAGCTCCGCGCTCTTGCGCTCTTCTCCGATATTGGAATAGATATGCACAAGGACTGGTACAACGGCTTTCACTCCAAGTGTTCGGACTCAACATGCCAGACAAGCACATACACGCCATTCGAGCCATCCTGCAGAATCGCTCTTTCCGGTACGGACTAAGAGGCACCCTTTCCAAGAGCCACTCATTCGCGGCTAGCTTTGCTATTTTCCAACGTCTTGGCCAAACTTTCCGGTTACACGAAATGAAATTGGTCACCGTGACTTGTTCCGCAAACGGAAAATCGATGTTAACTCTGAAAAGAGCGTCACTTGGGCTAATCGTAACACCACAGCCCACACTGACGTCTCACGGTCCCGAGCTCGACAAAACTGGATGCTTGGACAAATGACGTTACACGATCCATAGATCATACGTAATTAATTAAATCACGTAATTAGGGATTTATAATTTGGAAAAAATTATATATTTCAAGAACCGACCTGTTGACAGTAAATCCCAAAAAGATAATAGCGTCCACTGCATAGTTTTTGAGTTTTTTTTTTTGTAAACACGATAACTCTTTTTCTTGTTCTATTTATTATTCCAATATTTCTTTTTCTCCTTAGTTTCACATTATCCCAATCGTGTCGTATTTTATTGCCTTTATGGCGTATTTTTATTCTTCAATTCTACTACAAGCTTGTAAAGTTCTAACATTCAACGTTGCTGTAGAGGTTTTGTGACTTTGGTCATTTTTTTCCTATATTCTATTATTATTTTTGTTTAAATGGTTTTGGTTTTGGTTTCGGATGAAATGACCGATCTACTTAGAAGGGATAGAGAGGTGCTAATTAGTTTGCCTAAGGATCTACGCTTGGATTTGTCTAGTTGTTAAGATTGTTCTGTAATGGGCGAAAAATCTGGTTGAGTAACCGTCAACGAATAGTGCGATTTATAAAATTTCATCTTTAAAAATAGATAACAACTAAGGTTTGATCATAATCTAATCTAGTGAATTATAGGCTGCATAATCCTTTGATTATTTTTTTTGGGATTGACGATTGACCTTGCATTTTCCTATGTATGGCTGAGCGCTTCGCTCAGCGCGTTCCATTTCAAATACTCACGAAAGGATTTTCTGCTTTACGACTTTTGAATTAAATAATATAGTGATTTAACGCGTACAAGAAGGATATTAATAATAACGCATACAATAATGAAGAACCTGTTTTCGCAATCTTAAACCTCAAATCATCTCAATAATTTATCGGGGGGACGTGAAGTTATTAGGCTTATGCGCCAACTGTTTCAACATAAATACAAAGTTTAAATAAATTTCTGTCTTTATATAGTCATGTATATATGAATATATATATATATATATATATATAACTTTTGTTTTAAATTAAAATTTGGTTTGAAACTTTTTACACCTGCCTCTTTTGTCTCTGCGTCGCCCATAGGTTGACTGGTAGAGAATGCCTTAGGCATTAAGTCCGCCTATACACAATACTAATTTTTTTGTGTAAAAGTTTAAATAAATAAATAAAAATAAATATGACTGGCCTATCCCAGTATTTGAACGACAAATAAGTTCGTACCTGTCGAAAACTCTATCAATTGATTAATCTGATCACTAAGAAGATCATTCTGATCAATTCCGAGAGTTTAACAATCCTTTTGGCATCTCAAATAACATTTGAAAAGCCATTTGACAGCTGATTAGTTGACTTCTACGATGACCAGTGTTTCAGAAACCGGGCGTTAGTCACATTAATGGAATTTCAATTAAAATTAGTTATTTTATTTACGTACGAAAATAATTGAAAGTAATAAAGTGCCATTCGCAAAAAAGAACATATCGTGTTGTAAAGCTTGTATATTAAATACATACATACACACAATAAACAGAAAATCTCTATTATGTTCGAATATTTGATATTGTTTGATGAATGAAATGTTTTTATTTACTTTACACTCGTCGATAAAGTGTACATTAATGATAACTATATACATAAATCATAAGAGGGAATAACAAACAACATTTTTAATTGAAATTAAGGCTGTAGTACCTATAACAATTACGGCCCATAGAAAATATTCCCTAAATTGTATTATGTATTTAAATTTAGAATTCAAATCGAGATATAAAATTACATTTTAATAAAAAATATTTAAATTTACACTAGGAATGTAAAGATAGCTGCTAAAAATAAATGATAGTTAAAAACTGTTAGTTATTTTTCTCAATAACAATTGTTCAATCTCAATAACAATTCTCAACAACCCTAGGTACAATCCTAAATAATACTTAAATAATAGGTTTTGCATTTTGTTTTTGCTTTAGGAACTTTGCAATAAAAAGTTTACCTTTTTGTATAATATCGGAGTTTTTTTTGAATGTTCAGAATGCTAGTAATGCTACTAAAAGTAAAAACAGAGAAGTTTCTTATCATTGTAGCAATAGATGCTCTGTTTTTTCTCCTCGTAAGAAGACATTAAGCTGAGTAAGAAATCTAGTATTCCCTTAACATTCCCGTGAAAATATTCACATTACAAACGATGGCAGGCTAGTCGAGTTACACAATATTTAATATATTTATTTACTTATATATTAATATAAATACTTTATTTATTTTAAGATAAATTTATATTTGTATTGCTAGTTCCTGCACTCAAAATGAATCATTTATTTATTTAAAATAAACTAACAATGTAATGAAGCATTAGAAGTCAATTTTAATCTGTTTCTAATTGTCGTATCGAGATGAATCTGATGAATACATATAGTTCGGACGACGAAACTAATTTGGTGTCGTGGAGCTGATCTGATGATGGAGCCAAGATCTGGATAGTGGAACTCTTCAGTGGCTACTGGTTTTAGCGCTGGTTTTAGCGCTGTGGAGCTTGAAATAGTCCACCCCTAGCCAAGATGATAAACGTGCCGACGTCTGAATGGTATGGAACTGGTTAAATTTTCATATAGCGAGTGTTCCCTCAGAGCACCGAGCGAATCTGGTGTGAAGAAGAATATACTAAACAAAACGCAATTTTCTCTACAATTGAGTTAAATTAAACATAAAAATGTTAAACGTTTGTTTAACATCTTCATTACTTTACATATTCGAATTTTTTTTACGGTGGGAGGGCCACGCAGCAGCCTCGGCTGTTGCACGAATGGGCAGGCCCGTCCGGGTAAGTACCACGACCTCACAGAAGACCGGCGTAAAGTGGAAGTATGACAAATACTTTCGCGTTTCGTCTGGTGAGTGAGGTAGCCGGAGCCCAATTTTCAAAAGGTTGTCAACGCATCTGCAACCCTCGAGTGTAGCAGATGTCCATGGGCGGCGGTATTCACTTAACATCAGGTGAACCGTCTGCTCGTTTGACAACTTTTCGCATAAAAAAAAAAAAAAAATTTCTTTTGTGTACGCAAAATGAAGACATGATAACAAAAAGATTTTAATAATAAAGAAATATAGAAATAAAAAAGTAATCGAGTTTCGAAATCGATATTAGCACATTGGCTGTATCATTATTTTTGATGCCTAATTGTATGTCAAATTTAAAACCACTAGTATTTCCCACTCATTTATATTAAACAAATATGTATATTATATAGTAATACATATAAATATTTTAATGTAATAATTGCACCTACCACGATTTCTCACCACGCCCCGGGTGGACTGGGAGAGAATGCCAAAAGGCATTAAGTTCGCCCTTTGTAATCCTTTTTTTTAAAGGTTGCAATAAAGTATAAAATAAAAATAAATAAATAATATATACCTACATTATTGTATTAGTCTTATTTTTTAATAAAAATTTATTCCAATCGGAATCAAATCGTTCAGTACTTTTTAATTTTTTGTGTTATCATGAATTCTTGTAAAAAAATTTGAATGTCTTAATTGTGGAGATGACAGTGTTTTACGGAAGGTTTTTAAATGTGAAAATGTTGACAATAGTAAAATGGCGGATTTTCTTAGTGAAAATAACAAGATTTAATTATGTTTTTTTCTCGAAAAGTATAGATGACTATCAAATTTTTTTTATTGATTACTTTGTTAGTTATATGTCTCTATAGTTATCTGTTGTTTAAATTTTTCTTTTCTTTGCTATATAAAAGTAGTAGGCTGCTGAAATTTTACCTCACCGCGTATTGATAGTTCTAACATAAAATATAGGCTTCATTTTACCGTGGGAAAATATCTTATTTTAAATATTGTCCGAATCTCACGATATTTAATGTTATATTTACGGAAACTACCACCCGTAAGCATCTCTAGTTAGTCTGTGCTAGCACCGCACTAACATGAGCAGACAAGTTAGCTGTTCTGTACAGTTGTTACACTGTTACTAAAAATCATAGATGGCGCTGTTTATCACATTAAACATTTATCTATACCGATTACAGCTAATGTATAAATAAATTATGTATCGGTGACATTATCTGATCAGTGCAACCGTAGCATCAGCCATGTTTAAAAGCTTGACGTATTTTGTATTGCTTTCGTCTGTGATGACGCTCGGTAAGTACTTTTGTTCTTCTATTGAACGCCCATTCTTTTTTTTATGTAAGATGGTGGCAAAAGAGCTGACGGATCACCTGATGCCAAGCGATAACCGCCGCCCATTGATATTTGCAACACTCATAAGGTTGCAGATGCTTTTAATAGCTAATAGCTGTTAAAAGCTAAATAATTCAACAAAATTCTACAAGTTGAATCTTAAATAGCTAGCACTAAAATTAAACTTAAAATCAAAAATGTTCTAATAGGAAAGGTCTCTGTGTAGAGGGTATATGGCTGACTTCAAACGTCTTCATAATATTTTTTTTTATTATTTCGAAAATATGCTGTCTTCTCAGGATGTTTTCTTCACAGTTAATATGTAAGTTGGCTAATATATTAACAACTTTATTGGTGCTGACACTGGGCTTTTAACTCGAGAATATTGAATTAAAAAAGGGTGCCATGCACTGAGCTATCAAGGGTCGTATATCAGGATATTAAGTTATTTACAGAAGCCATTACACACATCATTATGTCCATTTAAAATTGAACTAAAATTAACTTAAAGTCAACGGTTCGATTGATCGGAACACCACAAACCTAAGACCTAGAAATAAAAATGAAAAACAACAAGAAATCTAGATAAGATATCGAGATCCTAGATAAGCAACATATTTTTTGAAATACAAGAAAAGAAAAGGAATATTAATATCTACATTCTATATTCTTGGACATAATAAGTAACAAAATGGAAATACCATGTCGTAAATGGTCAGTTGGCAATGTTTATAAACACGGGAAAAACTCTGTAAAAGTTAGAGAGAGGCTGTCACTATAACGCAACGACCGGCAGGAAAATACAAATGCTGAATAAGAAAAAAAAATGTACAGTTATACGTAATTGAAAGAAAATTGTCCGCCTACCGTGTATTAACGATTGACGTTCTCAATTCGACTGTATTTTTTATGCTTGTTATATAGGTTCTCAATTCGGTTGTTTTAATATTTGTTACATCAGAACTCTGTCGTTTAAGTCGATTTTAAAAATTCATCTTACAGATCGAACACAATGTTCGATTTAGCTTTGACGTCGGCTGGACTATCGGTGGTAGAGCCACGCAACAGCCTCGGCTGTTGCAAGAATGGGCAGGCTCGTCCGGGTAAGTACCACGACCTCACAGAAGATCGGCGTAAAGTGGAAATATGACAAATACTTTCGCGTTTCGAATACTTTCGCGTTTCGTCTGTTGAGTGAGGTAGTAAAAAGGTTGTCAACGCATCTGCAAACCCTTGGGTGTAGCAGATGTCTATGGGCGGCGGTATTCACTTAACATCAGGTGAACCGTCTGCTCGTTTGGCAAGTTTTCACATAAAAAAAAACGTGCAGACGACACGCGGACTCAGAAGAAACAACGCATTTCTTGTATTAACTGATGTTTTTACTTTCAGTCCCGAGACTATTAAAGCTTCATCTGACCCAGAACCGGTGGGCTAGCCAGAACCCACGGGTTTGGGAGTAACAACCCAGCTGGTGCACGTCTACGAACGATGGCGTTGTACGCTCTATCGCTGTACTTTGTACGCTGCAATCTGCATCTTCGCAAACCCTGTTAACAAAATATGGACAATTCAACTTTCAAAGGCATCTGGAAATACACGACACGATATGAGGTGCCTCCGGGTACTAACAAGGTCGTTATTGCGATTTAGTCACGGGGCGTTACCAAAGTTGAACAATCCGTTACGATAATTCCGCTACGAAAACAATTAATTTACGATAAAAACAATTTACGCAAACACAAGATAACAATCGATTCAATGACATGCAACAGACGGTGATATGCAGACAATTCACTACCGAAAAACAACGCGACTATTCGAGATATTTATAATTTAAAAATATTAAATTATTAGGAAACGCTGACGTACGAAGATATCTTGTGTAAGCTGTGAAAAAGCAGTCCGTAAGTACTGATTAATCAATATCAATATTTTAATAAAGCCAACGTTTTACGATTGCGGAGACTCATGTTGATTATCGAAATCGATTACAAAGTCTATAAAAATCTTTCCGTTTTAGAGATTTTAACCAGAGCCCCTTGAAGAGGGACGGTTACACATTCACACGTCTCCTTGATGTACCTTAAGTACGCCTTCTAGATATATATAAAGTGCACGGAAGTTGCAATAAACCTAATCGATAAGTTTGAGATAGAATTGTTCATGTTGAGTACTGGTCAAGTAGAAGCATGTGTTTGTGATCAAAACAAATCAAATCAAAAATATCTTTATTCAAATAGACGCTTGTGGGTTCTTATGATCGTTAAATTTTAATTAAAAATATATCTTATCCTTTAAACGAGCAATCCGATTATATATATATATATATATATATATATATAATCGGAATCTCGGAAACGGCACCAGCGATTTTCATGAAATTTAGTATGTGCATAGATTCGAGGGCGAAAAATCGATCTAGCTAGGTTTCATTTTTAGAAAATGTCCTTTTATCCCTGTTTTCAGGGAATGAAAAATTTCGAATATGACGGTAAATTTCGCCGCAAGAGAAAATGTCAAAATAGCTCTGTCGGTAATCGGGCGGCCCCAAAACAGACGGCCGTGGTTCGCGTCACGATCATTTACACATTTACTTTTTTAGTTTTTTTTCGATTCCAGATCATTGTTTTCTTTATTTTTAATTTTTTGTCGATTTGTTATTTTGTTATTTTTTTTCCCTTTTTTTTTAAAGTTCTTTCTTTTGTGAAAAACATCAGTTCATATTTTTCTTATCATTACGTCGGTAAGATCGAAAAATATTATGCATATTTCATTACTCAGTAATTTGTATCTAAATGTAATTTCCAAAATACACGATTTACCAAAAAAAAAAAAAAAACAAACCGAGCAAAGCTCGGTCCTCCGGGTACTATATATATATATATATATATATATAGGTTCGTAAAGTACCATTGGTGATTTACGTTATAACAAAATTGTTTTTTCCCGCTCAACCGTTCCCGTTATTAATTCAGTGGTGAAGTTTACCTATAGATTAAATCGCGGTCATTGTGTAAATAAATTACCGATCTATTTACCGCTAAACGACATTCATATATACTTATAATAATTAATTGAAAGACTAATTAATATATCTTTATCATTGATATCTTGGTTGTTAATAACAATTTGCTAGATAACAATTTTACAATTCTAAAATCCTGGATTTATATCTTTCACGGTCTTGCCAATGTCGCTGACCATTGAATTCGCCGAATTGCCGGTTACCGGAATCCTATTTATATTTGGTAAGCCGGAAGTAAAGGTTCTCGAGTGGCAACCACAAGCCGGAAGAGGTAGCGTTGGAAGGCCTCCCTCTAGGTGGACCGATGACATCATAAGAGTCACGGGGAACCGGTGGATGCAAATGGAAAATTGTCGTTCGTTGTGGCGTTCTAAAGGGGAGGCCTATATTCAACAGGTCACGTCTTGCGGCTGATGATGATGAACTCGGAAGGCGCTGGTTCGAATCCTGGTTATGACGAAAAATTTACGAATAAAAGGCAGCGTTTTTACGGAAATCGCGAGCCAATAATGCACCTCTTATTAAGCTCGTGTTATCTCGTAAACCTTGAAGTATTCCATGCATTTACATGCAGTTAAAATAATATCAATTAAGTTAAAATAATCACTCCTCTATGTCCTTCCAATGGCGTTCCACGTTTTACGCGTAACTTTTTCTTTTCCCATGTGTAGTAACTTGATAGTTCTGAGTAGTCTTAGCAATTGGATCTTCCTGATGTGCTGCAACGGTCTGTAGAAGTAACAGCGCTCTCCGTGTTCGGGGGACTTTCTCTTCAGCCCATAGATAAGACATATATACTGAAACTGCGTCAGCCGTTGTACAGTGCAGAAGTTCCACCCTTTCTTCCGTTTCTATTCCTAAGTATACGATATTCTAAAAACCATATTAAACACGGCAATGAATAATTAACGACATAACCAGCCACGTGATCAAGCGGGTTTTCACAAAGGGAAGAGACAGTATCTACTATATACCACATACAATTTATAACACAATTAATTGAAAAATCAAAGCAATGTAGAAAGACGCCGTATACATATATTTATTTTATGGACTACACGAGAGACTTGTTTAAATTTTGAAACTATTTAGACATGACTGACGCAACAAGGCGTTGACCCAAATGGCGTTAATGTAATGAATAGTGTTTAAGTAGTATAAAAAGTGCAACCGCAAGATGTCACGAGCTTGATATGATCCTGTAGGTAGAGAAAGGTCGAGATGTGCTTTTGTTTGCGTTCTGTGAGAGAGGAACTGTCAAGTACGGGTCATCGGGGTTTGGTGCGGACCAGGGCCCAGAAAGGAGGAAGCGAGCATTGCACTAAAAAAACGCTTTTAGTGCAATCCTTGTGCAAACGTTGTGTTGGTTTCGCCTTGCTCCTCAAGGGGTGGCTCTGGCATTGGAGAAAGCGATTCAACAGATCATCCAAGCCTTCCGCTTGGATGATCTGCTCGAGCTTAAGGGCATGTTGAGTGCTGTTTGCTTAAAGAACTAACCGTAGTGCCAGACTTGGTCAAATGCCTTTGCAATATCCGAGGAAAGCGCACCCGTGCCTATGTGCTTTGGTTGATGTTAATTGGGAGGCCTATGATTATAAAAGTATTTTTTCTTTTATTAAAACATTGCCCCCTTACTTTAGAATAACATTATCCTGTGTTGTAAGGACGTTTGACAAACATAAATTTCACGCGGACAGACACGCAGATGCGAAACAACTCTCTCTGGGTCGCACAAATAGTTGTCCAGTATGGGAATTAAACCCACGACCCGCGAGGCCTAAGCCAATACCTTGGCCACTACGCCACGAAGTCATCAAATATATTTATACAACCCATTAAAAATTAACGCGCTCTGATCTGACGATAGTTGGTAGTCTGGACCCTGTTCGGTCGTCCGGGAAGGAGCAACTAGAGGGAAGCGCATTGATAATTAAAATACTCGAGATGCCCGTGAACACTAACAGCTTTAGAGATATTGCAGACGTGATGCCGCCCACTGACATTTGGGCCCGTTTTTTTTTTATGTGATAAGATGGCAAGCGAGCTGGCGGTTCACCTGATGATGAGTGATAACCGTCACCATGGACATTTCCAACCCCATAAGGTTGCAAAAGCGTTGCCACCTTATAATCAAGTGGGCCCCGGCTACCTCACTCACCAGAGGAAACGCAGAAGTATAACACTTCCACTTCACGCCGGTCTCCTGTGAGGTCGTGGTACTCCCCCGGACGGACCTGCCCATTCGTGCAACAGAGACGACTGTTCCGTGGCCTTACCAACGTGGTTACCCCGTTCACAAAACGTAAAGCATAAATATAAATGTACTTAACGTTGATCTTATGTTCGGCCGTGATGGGAGGGAGCTATTTGTGCAGCACGTTAGATGTTGTCGATGTAGAACAATAAAAGTAAATTTGTCAATTTTTAATTAAACACTATTAAATAAGGACAAACTTACTACACCATTGTTTCGTTACAAAAAGTAAATAGGTCGTTCATGGGCCAAAGTGTGGGCATGTATAATAAAATACTACAGTCGATATTAAGTCTGCCGCTTGATTAAGTTAAACGTAAAATTAAAAGTCATCTTATTGTTAAAGCATATTATACCATTGCGAAATATCTCGACGACGCCAACCAATGTGTGGAGTCAATACTGTTAATACTCACGTAGGCTACAATAAGACTATTGTACTTGTATTTTATATCGTAAGCTGATATTTTTGAAAAAAAGCAACTGTTGTTTCTTGCCGACCTCTTCTCAACAGAAACTGCTTTCCAAACCGGTCGTACCTTACGAAGTTATGTAAAATTCGACGACTCATAAAAACGCGCAAGCGTCTATTTGAATAAAGATATTTTTGAATTTAAATTTGCATAACCACACTTCATCGGTTCATAGATGACAATCACTTTCGCTGCGACTACCGATATTTCCCGGAGGCGAAGGGTTGGCTGAAATTGCACCGCGTGCCTTCCAATTGGTTCGAAGCCCGGCTGAGATGCCACCTCGAAGGTAATTTGTTCCTCTGTGGTACATTTAAAGTATTCAATAGAGAATAATGAAGTTGGGGTGGTTGCTAAATAATGGGAAGTGGTCGAAATTCGACCTTAACTAATTATACATGTTAGTGTGTGTGTATTTTGGTAGTGTGTGTAATTTTTTTTACGTTTTAATGTATTTTTATGCATAATTAAAAAAAAATTATCATTCTGCACACATAAACTATAAGTGTGGGAAATTTCATACTTCTCCGTCCGCGTTTTCTTAAAAAAGAGTACAAAGTTTTTGCTACACGTATTAAAATATAGATTCTCGGTATTATTTTTGTTCAGGCTTAACGCCTGCGCAAATATTACGCCAAAACGCCATCGCGGGAGCATTGCCGTCACCCGCATCAAGGCGCTTGAAGATTCTGTATACAAATCTGTCTACTCATGTCACTTGTCCTACGAACATTGTACAATTCACATCCCTTTTTGAATTATATTAATTTATTAAGTATCTGGGCATTTAATTTACACCATCTATCCGCTAAAGATAGAAAATGGTGGCCCATGAGGGGAACAAAGAAGAATCCGCGAAATAATAACAATTAATACGTAAATACGACGAGACACCGGTTAGCGCGGCGACCTAACGATCTTCAACATTACATCAAATCATTCCTGTGGATGGAGCCTTGCAGTAGATATTTCTAAAATCACGGGCTGTATTGGAAAGCAGAAAAACAAAGAAGATTCGAGCAGTGAATCAGCTAAAGTTTCACATCGAGCAGTTACGAGCTCGTCCGTTAAGATAAGTGTCCTTCCTTAACTAATTCTTAAAAAACCTAATAACTAACAAAATAATTTTCAAAATCGTTCGTCATTTGTGTAAATTAAGTGTTTTTAGACAAGTTTTACAGCGTTTTATGCACGTAAATTTGTTATTTAGTGCAACATTGCATCATCTTTTTTTTCACCTACCCGTATGTATAAAAAAGTGAACAAAGGAATTAACTTTTAGCTATTTATCGCAATATTCTCTAAATTAATACATAAATCATTCAATTCTATGTTCACTATTCCGTAAAATAGGTATATTAAGCAATAAAAGGTATAATTCACTCAATTGATATAAAGTTAAATAATTTTACGAAGTAACGTTGGTTTCGTATTTTAGGTTTTCTCGTTTCGCATTGTTTATACATTGTATATTTAGCGTATTTGCCGAATATTCCAGGCTAATATTTATCATCGCCGAGCGCCGTTTGCACCTACTTATCCCGTTGGATTACATTGGCCGGCCGCGGCTCCTGCACCGGCCGGGAGCGAACTGTTGAGCGTGCGCAGCCGGGTTCCCTGAGCGGCAAGTACCACCAGAACGAGGAACGTGAGCCATTTCGATTGAATTAAGCAGGAATTGCATTGCTATTTAAATAAAGAGAATCAATATTTAGTTAACTGACTACCAAAAAGGAAAGGTTTAAATTATATTTTTTCTTGTTGTTGTTTGTTCTGAAGTGTTATATTTAATGACAGAAGAAATGAATAAACAAAGTTTACGCGATTTAATCACTAGAAGAACGTCCGCCAAGGGACAAATTACAAAATTTAAAAATTATTTAAATGGCATTGCCTGTTTAATGGAACTAAACAACGTTCAATTAACGGAGTTAGATTTAAAACTCACTAAATTTGAAGCTTTGTCTATGAAGGTTGATGATTTGCAGAGTGAAATAGAGGTTTTAAATTATGAAAATATTTCGGCTGAAATTGAGGAACGCGATAAAATTGAGCAAGATATAATTATGAATACAGCAAAGGCCAAAACTTTAGTCGAAAAATTCTCCAAAAAATTAGAATGCGAAAAAAGGCGCAATTCGGGTCACAACGCGTCATGTTGCATAGATGATCCTAATCACCCCCACGAATTGGGGTTGAAACTCCCTCAAATTCAAATAGCCAAATTTGATGGCGCATATTTCCGTTGGTTGGAGTTTCGGGATACTTTTGAAAATCTGATACATAAGAATGATCGCATATCAGACATCCATAAATTCCATTACCTCGTATCTTATTTGCAAGGCGACGCGGCCAGGATTATTTCAAATTTGGAGGTGTCAACCAACAATTATGCTGAAGCGTGGAAGATGATTTGCAATAGATACGACAACAAAAGAATATTGATTAATCATCATTTAACATCATTATTTAATATTAAACAGCTTCCACGGGAATCAGAGCGATCTCTACGATTTTTGGTTGACCACGTGACCAAAAATTTGCGCGCCTTAACAAGCCTAGGACAACCCACTGACAAATGGGATGTACTAATAATATTTATGTTATCATCTAAGTTAGATGTCAATACGTTGGTAAAATGGGAGGAATATCGTAACAATTTGGAAGGCGACGTACCTACCCTCGAACAATTTTATAAATTTATGATAGACCGTGCTGATGTGCTCGAGTCATTGAATCGTAATAATCGGTCTGACGTTACTAGCGTGTCAAAGGTGACCAGTGCCCCTGTGCGTTCTATAGCTAATAATAATTATATTCGAAGGCAAGGTCAAAATCAAAACTATGTCGTAAAATCGTTTGCGAGCACCAGCAATAATTATAGCAAGAAACCAAATACTACATTTATGTGTATTATTTGCAATGAGCGTCATAGGATATATGATTGTCCAACGTTTAAAGCGAAGGGGGTTGACGAGCGAATGATGGACGTGACGAAGTATAAATTGTGTGTTAATTGTTTGAGACAAGGTCACCCGGCAAGCGAGTGTCGCATGGGTCCATGCCGTGAACGCGGCTGCACCGAGCGTCACAATAGTCTGCTCCATCGCCCATCATCCTCCTCAAGCCACCTCGCTCTCATTGATGAACAAGATGAAAATGAAATTATCGTTAACTATTCTAATCATAATACAAATCAGGTGTTATTATCTACTGCTATCATTGAAGTATCGAATCCAGTTGATCATCAAAAGGTCAAAGTTCGTGCTCTTTTAGATTGCGGAAGCCAATCGTCATTCATATCTGAGTCCCTAAAGACCAGACTATCGTTAAAGTCTCGCCACATTGACACACTAAAGGTCATTGGTATAGGCAACACTTCTTCAATGAATGTAATTGAAAGTTGTGATATTCAATTAAAAGCAACAAATAGTAATTTCAGTGCAATGTTATCGTGTTTTGTTTTAAATGAGCTCACCGGTCGTTTACCAAAGACGCCGGTTGACATCAAGTCAATTAAATTACCAGAAAATATTCAGTTGGCTGACCCCATGTTTTATCAGCCAGCTCCCATAGATGTACTGATAGGTGCTGATCTCTTCTGGGACATTCTAGGCAACGAACAACGTTCTCTAGGACCAAACAATCCTAAGTTAAGGAGTTCACAGTTAGGTTGGATAATTTCTGGCCCTATAAATTCAGCAGTATCTAGCAATAGGATACACTGTAATCACGCCATTGTCTCTTCATCGCAAAATCAAAATATAGAACAGTTAGTTTCTAAATTTTGGGAGTTAGAAGAAGTTCCGAAAAAGTCAATCATAAGTGAAGATGAAAGCGAGTGTGAAAAGCACTTTCTCGCTAATACCATAAGAGATGAAGAAGGTAGGTTTTGTGTCAAGTTACCTTTGAAAGAATCAGTAGATTGTTTAGGTGATAGCTACAATCTTGCGAAAAAACGATTCATTAATTTAGAAAAACGGTTCAAGCGTAATCCAAACCTTAAATTTGAATACACAGAATTCATAAGAGAATATGCAGAATTAGGGCATCTCTCTGTATCTAATTATAATAGGTCACCTGTCCCTCACCCAGCGTACTACTTGTGTCATCATGCGGTCATGCGTCAAGAGAGCGAGTCTACCAAGCTCCGCGTAGTATTCGACGGCTCAGCCTCTTCTACATCAGGTTACTCATTGAATGACATTTTAATGGTAGGCCCCAATGTCCAAGACACCCTCTTTTCCATCTTAATTCGGGCAAGGCAATACAAGTACCTACTCACTGGAGATGTGGAAAAAATGTATAGGCAGGTGCTTGTAAACGAAGGTGATAGGAACTTGCAGCTAATTTTGTGGAGAGAGGACGAGTCACGCCCCATCCAAACGTTGGTCTTAAATACCTTAACCTATGGCACAGCAAGCGCAAGTTACCTCAGTACACGGTGTTTGTGGCAGCTAGGACAGGAACAAGATGATGAACTTATCAAAAACATCATCCAAAATGATTTTTATGTGGATGATTTAATAACAGGAGCTGATGATTCTCAGCAATTAATTTACATACAAAAGACAGTATCCAATGCATTAAAATTAGGTTGTTTTAATCTTCGAAAATATAAGAGCAATCATCCGTATGTATTTGATAACCTTGACATAAATAAGCAAGACAGTCTAACTATCAGCGAGTCTTCGAGTACTCTTGGTCTTGGATGGAAACCCTCTAGCGACACTTTACATTTTCCTATAAGGGTGACACAAGAACCAGATGTACCTATAACGAAACGTTCTATAATGTCAAATTCCTTCAAAATATTTGATCCTTTAGGTGTTCTCAGCCCAGTAATAGTAGTCCCTAAAATGATGTTGCAAAAGCTATGGAAAGAAAAACTGGACTGGGATCAACCAGTACCCTCCGAAATAAAAAAGGAATGGACTAAATTTACGGACAACTTAAAATTCTTATCTAATTTACAAATTCCGAGGTTGGTGTTATGTGATTCTCCTAAATATATAGAATTACATTCGTTTAGTGACGCTTCTCAGTCCGCATTTGGATCATGTGTTTATATTAAGTCAATTAGCACAAATGGTGACGTCACCGTCAAATTACTGTGTGCTAAGTCTAAAGTAGCACCATTAAAGCCGACCAGCATCCCACGATTAGAGTTATGTGCCGCTTTGCTCGCTACTAAGCTTACTAAGTCTGTAGTCGATTCCTTGAGATACAAGCCCACAAGGATTGTGTACTGGTGTGACTCGAGTGTGGTTCTGGGCTGGATTAAAGGTGATATCACTAGACTAAAAACATTTGTAGCTAATCGTATTAGCGAAATATTGGAGCATGCTTCACCGATATCATGGAAATACGTCCCAACCGATTTAAATCCTGCGGATTTCATTTCTAGAGGGGTAAATGCAAAAAACATCATGTCGTTGTCACTTTGGTGGTCGGGACCCACATTTTTACTTGAAAATGAAATCAAATGGCCAGTATTGAATGCCAAGAAATCTGATCCTTTACCCGAATTGAAAGTGCACTCTGCAGCAATTAGTGAACCTTTTTTAGATTTTGAAAGATATGCTTCTCTCAATAAACTACAACGTTTATTTGCTTACGTGCAAAGATTCATATTTAACACTAGAAATAGCAATGCGAAACGCGCAGGTTTATTAACAGTTGAGGAATTACGTGATTCATGGCATTCATTATGTATTATCGCTCAAACTCAATCCTTCGCAACTGAATACGACCTGCTAACTAAAAATAAACCTTTAAGTAATAAAAGCAAAATTTTAAGTTTGTCTCCGTTCTTAAATAATAAAATAATACGAGTTGGAGGTCGGTTGGATGCGGCTAATTATTATTCATATGAGAAAAGGCACCCCATTTTACTTCATGCCTCGCACAGGTTAACAAGACTGCACTTTGAAAGAGAACACGTCAACAATATGCACGCGGGTCCTTTACTGTTATTATCTATTGTAAGGGAAACAGTGTGGCCAGTAAACGGACGACATCTCGCACGGCGGACAGTTAATAACTGTGTTCGGTGTAGACGTGTACGCGGTGAAACGTTGCAACCTAAAATGGGTAATCTACCACTCCAACGTATAACCCCATGTCATCCGTTTATGTCAGTGGGTCTGGACTTCGCGGGACCGTTCACGATTGTAAATCGTAAGGGCCGTGGAAGTCGTTTAATAAAATGCTACATGTGTTTGTTCGTTTGTCTGCGTTATAAATGCATCCATCTCGAAGCTGTAAGTGATTTAACTAAGGATGCATTCATAATGACACTTCGGCGTTTTGTAGCGCGCAGAGGCAGACCAACGGAAATATTTTGTGATAACGGAACTAACTTTGTAGCAGCCGCAAGGGAGTTAGGATCATTTATCAAGCAAAATCAAAACCCTCTATTTGATTTTGCAAGTCAAAATTCTATCCAGTTTAAATTTATTCCGGCTTACTCTCCTCATTTTGGTGGTATATGGGAAGCCGGCGTTAAATCGGCAAAATTCCACTTAAAACGCGTCGTTGGCAATAGCCACCTCACTTTTGAGGAACTTAATACTTTGTTTACACAAGTGGAGGCGATTTTGAACAGCCGTCCCTTGTGCCCCCTATCATCCTCTCCTAATGACCTCCTTTCCCTTTCCCCAGGACACTTCCTGATCGGGAGACCGTTAACTGCTCCACCGTCGCAATATTTGGGTGACTCTAAGGAAAGTAAACTTCAACGCTATGAACGCTTAGAAAAAATGCAGCAACACTTCTGGCAAAGGTGGCAGCGTGAATATCTGTCTGAGATGCAGCAGAGAACAAAATGGAAAGGCAGTACATCAAAGCTGGACATAGGAGATATGGTACTCTTGGCAGATGACAATGCTTCTCCACTCTCTTGGAAGCTCGGGAGAGTACAACGCCTCATCACGGGATCCGATGGAACAGCGAGAGTGGCAGACATCACCACTAATAAAGGCTGCGTGCGCCGATCTCTAGTAAGGCTGTGCAAGCTGCCGACAGCCGAGGAACTTCAAGGTTGAAAGTGACCTTTCAACGGCCGGGAGGATGTTCAGGCTTAACGCCTGCGCAAATATTACGCCAAAACGCCATCGCGGGAGCATTGCCGTCACCCGCATCAAGGCGCTTGAAGATTCTGTATACAAATCTGTCTACTCATGTCACTTGTCCTACGAACATTGTACAATTCACATCCCTTTTTGAATTATATTAATTTATTAAGTATCTGGGCATTTAATTTACACCATCTATCCGCTAAAGATAGAACAATTTTTGACATTTGCACTTTCCCACTATTTGGCATTCGAACTAAAATTTGGCATGCAAATTGAAAGAGCCTTAATTAATATCCCCTTCATCTATGCATACTAATATTTTTTGCCGCAGGGGGCAATCTCGCGTCTCCCTCGAACATCAAACTGCGAAAAGCCATGGGCTTTCTGATCGAGGAGGCAACAGGCGACATGACGTGCGGTGTCTTCACCGGCATCCACGCGTTCTTTTCGAGGGGAGACTTCCAATCGATCGAAGGTGCGTATGGATTTTCAAATGCAGCTGCGTTCAGGAAATATTTTGCTCCCAATTGAGATGTGAAAAAGGACTCTTATTACTCAAATAGTTATGAATTTCTTGTCACTAACAGTTGGTAGCTCATCGTCACAAATCAGGTATACAAATAAGTAAGAGGGGCTATAGTAGAGTGTGGGTATCTGACATTACAGACAGTCCCCAATTGAAGCGTTATTGACTACAGAGTTATAAAATTTTCCAAAACAAATAATTTTAGAACATCCGAACGTATAAAACTGTAACGTAAAGTTCATTTGTAAAGGTCACAAAGCATAGCAATGCAACCAATCCATTAAATGAATTGTAAAGAGATAAAACATACTGTTAGGAGAGACTTGTTGACGTTGTGGCAACGAATGAACGAGTCTCTGACGCCCGGTTTCTTAAACACTGAAACATCATCATCGTAGATGTTAAGTAATCAGCTGTCAAAGCTATTTAAATTATTTTATTTGCCAAAAGGATGCTTAAACTCTTTGAATAGATCATTCTAATCATTAAGAAGATCATTCTGGTCAATTCAAAGAGTTTAAGCATCTTTTGACAACTCAAATGAAATTTGAAAGCCACTTGACAGCTGATTAGTTAATATCTAAGATGATCAGTGTTTCAGAAACCGGGCGTAAATGTATGAATCAGTCAGTTGTAGTTGTATAGGATGTTTTAAATTTTGTTTCTTTTGTATTCAATTAGTTTGTTTGAAAATTATTATTTTTAATTATGGGTTATTTTAACGTTTATATTTTTTTACGATTGGCAAGTAGCGTTAGAAGTGTACATCGAAGGTCGCGGTTGTAACACCAGGCAGTATAAAAATAAGTATATTGAGGCTTATATCAATGCAATTCCACAATAATGCAACATTACTTGTTCAGGAGTTCCCCTGAGGAAGATACCCCATACATGGGCCGACGGAGAACCCAACAACTTGAAAGACCAGGAGAGCTGCATAGCTCTGTTGCCGGACGGTAACTTGGCAGACGTGAACTGCCATGAACCTTTGCCCTATATCTGCTATAAGGAAAAAACAAACAAGATGTCGGTGTCCGGTTGTGGTACTACCGACAAAGGTGAATATGCATTTAACATTCTTTAACATTCTCTTCTTTTAAGTAGGGAAATTTGTATTGTCACGGAATGACCACCTTTAAGATAATCCGGTATAGGTTAAAAAAATTGTTTATAAATTTTGCAATTTTTGCAAGGGAAACTTCATATCTTATTTTTTTCAACAATCATCTAAACGTAATCTCAAATTGAATGTCACCTCATTCACATATTCATATATTAGAAAATTTATGAATTTGAAGGAATTCTTGATTTTATGGAAAAATTATACATATTAAATGAAAATAGTTTACGTATTAAAATTCAAATTAAAAAGCGATAAAATCCGTGTACTAGTTTCATTTAAAAAAAAAAGCACTTGTTTAAACTATACCACGCACGGCACTTATCGCATTGCAATCTAAATTAACACAATTTTAACATCACGTTAGAAAACTACGTTTAAGTAAAATTTTGCTACTTTTGTATTTTAAAAATGCACTCACTTTTAAAAATGCAGTCATTTTATTTTCAACCGATTTCAAAAAAGGAGGAGGATGTCAATTCAAATGTATTATTTTATGTTTGTCACCTCAGAACTTTCAACTGAGTAAAGCGATTTTGATTATTCTTTTTTTATTTGATAGCTGGTGCTCCCCGTGTGGTCCCATATTAAATTCATTGGTATTGGATCTTGGGCTCTGGAGATTCTTAGGGAACTCCCGAAAACCAATTATAAAATGAACACAGAGCGAGATATTTGGAGCCGGTTTTGTTTCTCGTTAGTAAAAATATGGACATGTTACATAGATTTTAGAGTATTTTATAGTGTATTAGGGATTTTAGAGCATTTATTATAGGATTTTAGAGTATTTTAGACGCTCGCATCGCTATTGTTCCAGAGTACGCGTACGCGGAAACCGGCAGCTGCTACAAGTTCCACGAGCTGCAGCGCACGTGGTCCCGTGCGTCCATGGTGTGCGCGGCTGAGGGTGGCCACCTGGTCGTCATAAACAGCGACCAAGAGGCCCAAGTGGTCAAGGACATCTTCGCGAAGCACCCCGGTGAACTCGCCTTCGTAGGCGTCTACGATTGGAACGAGCACGGCGAGTGGCTGACCATCCATGGTAACCCACAAGTTTATAAGTAGCGACCACGTGAAGCGGTCATCTAGGCAGAAAATATCCCTAGTGAATATTATCCTTATTTTCGTTACACGATGCGAATAACTTGCCCTCAACCCGCGACACAAAAGCCAAAAACTTTGCACCTTTGCCGATCGACTCAATATCACAAGTTGAACTGAGATCATACAACTAATCTATAGTTTTATCCTCTCTCAAAGAATTACGATAGTTTTAACTTTGCACTCGACATCTCGTTGTGTACCTTTTTAAAAATCTCACCCTGCCATGTAAATGTCGCACAGCTTACAAATTTACGTCAACTGTAAATTGTAACTGAAAAATACTGTATTTAGTGTTGACATTCTTGAAATCGCACAAAATTCATTGTGATTCAAGAATTGGTCTAGCTGTGATCAGACGACCATGGTCTAGTTTCGAACTATTTTCATTATGGACCACTACTCTTTTATGTATATGTCGTATAAAAAGCAGTGACGTTCTTAAATACTTTTTGATGTCTGCATAAAGCAGTAGCCAAGGTATTGGCTTCGACGCCGGGGGTCGTGGGTCGTGGGTTCGCTTCCCACTCGGGATAACTATTTATGTGGCAATGTTTTTTAATAAAAAAAATACATAGAGAAAACAAGTGGTAGGTACTTATATACGGCTTGGTGTTACAACAACGGTTATACAACGGGTATACCCGATTTACGAGTAATTACTTCAAATGAAACTATTATCGGTAGGCACATTTCGTGAAGGTGAAGGGAAACATCTTGAGGGAGAACCTGCAAACAGAAACAAAAAAAAATATTTCGAAAACACGTGAAGTCCGCCAATCCGCAGTGGGGCCGCGTGGTGGGCTATGCCCTGATACCCTCTTCACAGCCGAGGCTTTTGCCCAGCAGTTACGTTTATAGGCTGTTACTTCACTGTTACTTTTACATTTCGCGGGCACGCCAAATCTTCCGTTGACCGCGTTCCACAGGGCAATCGCTAGCGGAGGCCGGCTACGCTAAGTTCGCCCCAGGCGAGCCCAACAACGGCACGGCCGCCGGCGAGTTCTGCGTGGGCGTGTACCGAAGCGCGCTCTACAACGACGTCTCGTGCGAGAGCAAGTACGCGTTCATCTGCGAGAAGAGCCCGAAGAGCCTGCTGTGCGAACCGTAGAGCCGCGTGTACCGTTCACATAATAGTATTGCTAGTGTTAACCATTGGCGTATCTAGGGCCATTTTCCAGGGTTAGCCTAGGCCATTACTACAAAAAAAAATCAAAAATTATTCATATAATAGTAGGGAAAATTCGAAAATTACAATATCTACACCCGTACGAAGCTATAGTATAGTTTCCTATATGAAGAAGAGTTGTGCTTGAGAATGTCTCTTCCATGGTAGATCTCAACTGATTTTTTTGGATAGTTTCATAGGTGTCCAGCCTAGAATTTCGAATCGGTAACCCAAAATCCTGGGGTGGGCACGGCCCACCCGGCCCCCCTGCTATATACGCCTATGGTGTTAACACGGCGCCACAATGTATTGCTTTGGACGATGAATAAATATTTTTTTTGAAGTGAAAGTGACGTCATCACTTTGGAACGTTGCGCGACTTGCGTTAGAATACCCCTCCCTACTCCCACTCGATTTTCTCCGTTGCTGTACACCTACAATAATACCTACAAATCTCTTCCCTGAGTATACGCCGTGCTGTCGTTTGATAAATATTGTTTATAACAATGCGCCGGTCGCTCATACTTTCACTTAACTATTTGTTTAAAAAATATTATTTGTCAGTAATATAGACGAAAAACTTATCTATATTATCTATAATTACAGCAATAGTGTGATGAACCTACTGCTTTTATATCTATCTTCATTCTATATAACATTCTATATAATCAACTACAAATACATATTATTGATTTATATACATGTAGAAGGAAAGAAGAAACATTTATTCACGGTCTAACTTAGAAAACTTATAAATAATGTAACTACACAGTATATAAGGTATATTAGGATGTATACTAGTTAATGGGGAAACCACCATATAGCATCAGGGTAATTTTCCGCCCCAGGCAGAAAGGGTGGGGCAGGGCCGTCCAGGAAAGTTACAAGTATAAGAGTTCTACCGTTTTTATTTATTACTTTGATTCTAATATATCTTCCTCATTCTAATTTATCTTTCCAGCATACAAACAATTTCGAATATCGTTTTACAACGATAATTCGAACGAGAGATGTCGCCATTGCATTTTTTAAAAATTTTAAAGTTTTTTAAACGTAAACCCTCCTAGCGTTATCACTCAACATAGAGTCAATTGGAATTTTCGAAGAATCCGTGGCGTAGTTGCTAAGGTAGTGCCTTACGCTGGGGGTCGTGGGTTCGATTCCCACACGGGATAACTATTAGTGTGACCCACAGATAACTGTTTCGGACCTGGGTGTTTGTCCACGTGAAATTATTTTTTGTAAAACGTCCTTACAACACAGGATAATGTTATCCTACAGTAAGGGCAATATTTTAAAATAAAAAACTGAAACAACAACTCGAACAACATTTTCAATCCGAACAAATTTATCACTACATAATATAAAACAAAGTGGTCCCGCTGTCTGTCCGCCCCTATAAATGCTTAAATGTTTACAACAATGCAACGAATTTTGATGCGGTTTTCCTTAATAGATACAGCGATTCAAGTGAAAGCTTTATACGTATAATTAATGCGCAATATAGTAGAGAAACACTGATAATTTTATAGGTTTCTTTGTCGAAAACAAACATTCAGCATTGCACCCGTGCAACGCCGGGGCGGGTCGCTAGTTGTACATAATCCTCATTGGTTTGTAGTCCGCCTTCACGCGGCGGTCGAACTCACGCATGGAGCGACGCCTCTGCTCTGTGCTCTCGGCCCTGAGCTGGTAGGCACCCTTCACGCACTGGCAACAGCCCCGACACTGGCAGAAGGCGCATTTAGCCCTCACAGAGTCCCAGGCGCCTGCCGCGTCGAAAGATCATGGAGTCAGGTCTGACGACATTCGTAGAATCGTAGGGACATCGAGATGAGGACACTGACCATCGTAGATGTCAAAACCTCTTTGAATTGATCATTCCGATCATTAAGAAGATCATTCTGGACAATTCGGGAGTTTAAACATACTTTTAATGCAACCCAAATAACATTTGAAAAGCCATTTGACAGCTGATTAGTTAACATCTACTATGATCAGTGTTTCAGAAACCGGGCGTTAGAGAGTTATAAACGCGCACAATTTTAACAAGTCCATTTTTATTGAACAAAAACAAAACCGATTTCAAATATCTCGCTCTGTATTAATTTCACAAATGATTATCAGGAGTTGCCTAAGTATCTCCGGAGCCCAAGATCCGATACCAATGAAATTAATATGGAAGATGGGAAACAACAGCTTTCAAATGAAAAAAGAATCATCAAAATCGGTTCAATACAGTCGAATTAAGAAACTCCTTCTTTTTTGAAGTCGGTTGAAAAATTCTTTAATCCTCATCCATTTTCTGAATTCTCTCCCTTTTTTTAACCGAAATCACGTTTAACTCTCTTTATGCCTTATCCTCCTCGGTACATCGATTTTATAAACTAACAGAGTACCGGACAGACGTTGCCCTATACACACGTCTAAAATTCGAAAATTTCAAACTTTTTTCGAATAACTTTGTGAATCTAAAACATTCTCAAATCCACATGAACACACCAAATATTTCATAAAAACCAGTCCAACCGTTTACGAGTTCAGTTACATGCACACACCGAAGAATTATAATATATAAACAAAACTAATACATCAGTAAGAAACTGGCAATACATTATTTTAATAGTGTTTTAATAGTGACTATGACGAACGCTCACCAAGGCTTTTGGCTATTTCGGCGAACTCCAAGCAAGGCGTTGGCGCGGCACTAGCGATCGGATTGTCGCATATTGTCACACTATAACCCCCCTCGTCAACCAATGTGGAGCGGTCACGATATCGGCCGTTTCGACCCTTCTGGAAAAAAGCACTTTAGGCTCCAGGACCCGCATATATCTGCGTAAACTTCATTGGTAGTCTTTTTTATTATTACAATCGAAAGATTTATGCATTACCTAGCTGTGCCGGCGACTTCGTCTGCGTGGAATTTAAAATAAATTAAATTTCTAAAATCAAACTAGCCTAAGTTACTCCTTATTATATCAGCTATCTGCCGGTGAAAGTCCCGTCAAAATCGGTCCGGCAGTTTCATCAATTAGCCCGAACAAACAGACAAACAAAAATTGTAAAAAAACCGGCCAAGTGCGAGTGGGACCCGCGCACGAAGGGTTCCGTATTATTATCTATAAAATCATGTCTGTTGTATGGGAGCCCCACTTAAGTTTTTTTTTATTATGATCAGTATTAGTGTGAAAATTTCAACCGTCTAACTATCACGGTTCATGGTGACAGACGGTCAGACAGACAGAGGAGTCTTAGTAATAGGGTTCCGTTTTACCCTTTGGGTACGGAAATGTTATTTTGGTATACAGGTATAGTTATGGGAGCACGGAGGGGGCATGACGCAATCCAAGACTCTTAAGTCGCAAGTATCAAGTATGCCTACCGTTTCTCGGAGTCTGAGTAATTTTATTTATAAGGGTATAGTAAGTTTTAGTTCCAGCTTACGAAGGAATGCTTCTGAAAGCCCTCATTGTCCAGACGGCCCTGTAGCCGCAACTCGGCAGAGGTCTTTTGGACGCGACCCTTCCATACACGTCGCTTATTCTTGCAGATAGGTCGACATCTGACGAATAACACTGAAAATCTTTATCACCTCACGACCGAGACGAGACGCTCCTCGTTGGCTAAACGGTTGGCATTTTTGCAAATCATCGCTACGTCAAACCCCAATCGCCAATCATGTGCATACTGGTCCGATTTTTTGTAAAATCATGGATGTTATATTATTATACCATCTCTTAATTTGTATATTAGATGTTGTTTTTTCTTATCGAGATGAAGACTTTAAAATACGTGGAAAAAATGGGGGAATTCTACCGGAATTCCCCCATTTTCGCCACAACCTTTTAATGGGCTCACCGATCATTTTTTCAACCAAGCTGAAAATCGGCTGTATCAAAATTGAATAAATAATATATAGCTCTTTCAAACGCTACTTATGTCAATAAAATGTCCTGACTTTTGCTGGTTCATGTTTGGGCTTTCATTCCTTAAAGTTTAGCTTATGAAGTTTTGTATGGTCTAAGGCTTTAGACTATACAAAACTTCATAAACTAAACTTTCATAAACTTCATAGATATAAATAATATCTAAGCAGAGCATGTGGAAGCGATGCGGCTTTTCAGCACTAGGGAAAACCTTTAAGGAATTTTAAAAATTAAACTAACATCACTCTATGCAGAAAATAAATCAATAACAATTATTGGTGGTAATCAAGTGGCAATCATGTTATAGACGTTTTGTTAATCTGCTATGACATCAGAGCGACAACCGCCATATCTCATTTGACCGATCCGGGTGTTAGAATTTAAAAATGGAGAACTTACTCGCAATAGCGTAAACATTGTATCGATTCTGTTTTCCTTTTTGGGGACTCCAACATTTATTTAAAAAATATATTGCTAATCACTTTTATTTATACACATTTATTTTCATGTATAAATAATGACAGCGATCCTGTCAAAAGTCAAATATAAAAATGCAAATCATTATACTTTTTCTAAACAGGTGGAAGACAAAGCTTTTTTTGGTACAATGATACACGGCAGGACAGCAATGTCTACTGTGCGATTCCAATTTCCAAACACAGATATACCTTAATAAATTGTAGGAATTTCATACGAACAAAAGGACGATGATCACTTTTGTTTGAAGCCCTAACCATGTCCAAATGGACATATTTAAAAATTTTAAGAAGTTAAAATCCAGATCTAGATTTTTTTATTACGTTTAAAGCTATTGATTTGTATATTAAACAGAACGGCTAGGGAAACATAGCGTGGGACAGCCTGCAGCACGATGGACTGACGACTAAGAAAGGTGGCGGGCAGCGGATGGATGCGGACTGCCCAGGACCGGGATAGCTGGCGCACTTTGGGGGAAGCTTACGTTCAACAGTGGACGGCAATAGGCTGATATAATACTGTATTGTAAACCGCAACTGCAGCTAACTTTAATTCATTTTTTTCAATTGTGTAAATACGTTCTAATATTTTTTTTTAATTCTCAACCGATTTTTAAAATACAATTAATAAAAAATAATTATATGAATACTATGGGCATTTTCATAGAACAGGCGATTCTCCTGATGTTTAATCACAGCTGCCCGTGGACATTTGATTAATAAACTAGACAAAGTTAAAATAACCCTATCGTGTCGAGTAGAGTTAATCCGATCAACATTTAGGCATCCCACACTAACTGTCAAGCACGCTCCTGGGCGACCTGCATCCATTAACTTCCCGCACACTTGCACAAGTCGTTACTTCATTTACTGGGGTTGGTACACTGCGATGGCCAATACGACGCTACCACTGGAGATCCTTTCTTCGTATATGGCAATTTGCCACTTCAGTTTATTAATCTTCTGAGCGCTTTCAGTTAATGCTATTTTTTTTTTTGTGAGAAGGTGGCAAACGTACTGGCAGTGCACCTGTTGTTAAGTGATAACCGCCGCCCATGGACATTTGCAACGTAGGCGTAGGGTTGCAGATGCGTTGCCACCTTTTAATAGTGGGCCCCGGCTACCTCACACACCAGACGAATCGCAAAAGTATACCACTTCCACTTCACGCCGGTCTTCTGCGTGTTACGTACCTGGACGGAACTGTCCATTCGTGCAACAGTGAAAACTGTTGCGTGGCCCTACCTCAGTTAGGCCTTCCATGCAGTCTGCATGTCATTTTTCTTTGAAGGTTTTCCTTTAGTTCTTTTATGTACTAAGGTGGCAAGCGATTATATCTACATCACCTGTGGTGTTGCAAATGCGGTGACCACTTAAAAGACTACCCCACTCATCAGGCTAAATGCATAATTCGACTTCCCGCCGGTCTCTTGAGGAAGAGGCATTTCCCCTCCATTATAAATAAGTGTTAAAACATACTCAACCTTTTTCCATTTCGCCCATAGTAAAAGGATCATAAAAATATCTAGTTTAACAGCGGACTTTCAAAGTTTGAAAGAATTTGCTACCTTAGCAATAAATCCGTCTGTATGTACACTATGTTTTCTGTATTTTCTTTCTTTTTATATCCTTGTTTGCAATAAATTATATTCTATTCAATAAAAGCTGTTAAGAAAGCAAATAATAAGATCTTTAAGAAACATTATCATTTAATTGTTCTCTCACTGAATAGTTATCGATTAAAAATATCGTATAAAACTTTTGAGTAGCTGTGAATATTGATTAGTACCTGTATTATTTACAACACAAAGAAATTCATCGAAACACTGTATCTTTCAACACTTTGTTCCAATATATCTTAAGATAAAAATATTTTTGTTAGAATTAAAGAAAGTTACACGACACTGAAACTGAAATTAATGCTATCATAAGAGCTAAGTTGTTGAGGTGACGTAGTTGTTCCACCGCTAAGAACAGCACACGTCTGTATCGCGTTTCGAACCATCATTACACATGTAGACATGTATGGAATGTCTTGAGCCTTCATTGTAAGATGTCCTAACCAGGGTCTCCAAACATGCTCTGATAAACGTTCCAAGAAAATATAGTTTGCATTTAAATACATTTGGGGGTCCACTCAGAAAAGTTAATTTAATCAATTAATTAATAGCTTAAGATGACTCCGTGGGGCATATACCAAAGTATTGGCTTCGGCGTCGGGGGTCGTGGCTACAATTCCCACACCGGACATCTGTTTGGGTCAATCTGGGTGTCATCCACGCGAAATTCTGTATATTAAACGTCCTTGCAGTACAATGTTATCCTACCATAACGGCAGTGTTCAAAAAAAAAAAATTAATAGCATTAAATTCGTTAATTTACTAAGATTAGACTTATTAATATTACCAATACATACTGATTCATATTGAAAGAATAGTACGATCAATCAAAGATTCAATATTGTGTAGTTGAAAATGAAAAAGCCATTTTTCTATTTTTAAATTCCACTTGTAGGAATCATCCAACCTACCTTGTTTTCGAGCATTACATTGGTGATAGTTTGGAAAACCCCCACATAACCACTATTATTCTCAATGAACCTAGCACAATATATTTCAGACAAGTTTACCGGTACTAACACTTAAAACAAATCTTGTATAAATTACAGTTATCAAATCATTACATTAGTTCAATTGGATGATCATTGGTCAATATTGTATACAAAAAGACCATTCTCTATTTTAGCTTAAACTAATTGACAATTAAAGTTACATTGGCATTGATTTTTAATATTAAATGGCTCCAGTACAAATATTAATCAACCCCATCAACCCTGTTTACAATTAACCATGGGAGTCGGAAGCTGAATGACTTTGAAACTTATGCAGCAGACAAATCTGCCACCTTAATAGTTGTCACATGTTATTTTGAAATTTACACATGCTGGCAACTCTGAGACCTAGCCTTAACCAACTGAACAGTTTTTTGTTACCTGAAACATTCATTTAAATTCATCGCCTCAAGAGTTTTAGTATAACCTGGCCAACACTCATTTTAACATTCACTTGGAAAAAATTTCACATGGTATATTCATTCAAATGTCTTTGGATTTCGACAACTTTCCTCCAATTACACTGCATTCGTTTTGGCTCGATAGTGATGTACCCTGAACACTTGCAAGCGTTCACAGCTTCCACCGATGTTATTCCTCCTCGCCGTCGAGTAGCGCGGTCCTCGCTAAATTCCTGACCAGTGCGAGCCTCAGCAGCTCAGCTTTCTCGCCCTCCAAGCATTTCGCGCGCAGCTCCAAGCACAACATGATCTCATATGTGTCCGTTGATGAGAACACCGGCTCCTCAGACTCTAAAAGCGGCAAAGTGTCCAACAAGAGTGTCTCCCAGAAGCTGAAAATGAGAGAAGAACACTATGAGATTGGACTAGAAACAAATTACATAGTGAACTAGATACATAAGCATTGATCCTACCATACAATCGCACCATGAAATGATAAACATGAAATATGTATGGATGATAACACAACACAGATAAACATGACTTATTGCTTTTGCTTTGTCTTCTGTCTGTTATTTAAAAACGAGAGCTTAAAAAGCTGACAAATATAATGACAAGCTGAATAATAATAACTTGAGGTTTTCAACCTATAAAATGGCTAACTTTAGGATAAAAAATATAGGATTAGGATGTTCTGTATATTGAAATGTTATGAGTAATATCTCCTATAATTTTATTCCTATGGAACATAGTATGTAACAAAAAAATCCTTTTTAAATTAGGGCTATTATATAATAGGTGGCTATGCAATGTCTTGTTATTTATATTTTAAAATACTCACTACTCGGGAGCGATTTTGGACGTAATCAATGAAATAAGAAGCTTCGCTGCCTTTTTAAACTCCTTAATTTTGTACAATCTATGGAAGTCACAGTATTTGCCTGAAACGAAACAAACATTGTTAATAATTCCACACGTTGTGAATAATCGTAGTGAATAATAGTGCAGTTCGGAAGGCGAGCATGCATACTGAGTTTTGTGGACTGAGGATGTGTTTTTATTCGTCAATATTGCGCGCTTGCCAGCCCTACCGATGATATCTTTTAAGTTACATAGCTTCGTAACTTTCATAACGACTTGTAGATAAAAGGCGTGTACTTCCGGTTCCTATATTAACAAAACCTGGCGTATTCCTTACGAGCCGTTGCATTACCTACGTTGCCGGAAAGTTACGAAGCTACGTAACTAACGGCCGTTCGTTGAATATAGGAACCGGGCTTAAGAGTGCAATTGTGCCGGCGTGCCAGCCCTCACGGGGATATCTTTAAAGTGTGCAATCGTGCGGGCATGCCCGCCTTAACTAGCGCGTCAATTATGCGCGCGTGACAGCCTTACCGAGGTTGTGTTTTAGTGCGTCAATATTTCACGCTTGCCAGCCCTACCGAGGATGTGTTTTAGTGCGTCAATTATGCGCGCGTGCCAGCCCTACCGAGGAAGAGCAGCGTGTCGTCGAGCAGCAGCGAGGGGCCGGCGCTGAGCAGCAGGTCGGCGGCCGGCAGGGCTGCGCCGGCGCAGTAGGCGCGCAACGCCACGTGCGCCGCGCGGCCGCACGCCGCCCCGCCCCTGCCCCGCGCCGCCCACGCCAGCGCCGCCCCCACGCGGCCCGCGCCCAGCCGCCGCGCCCCCACCACGCCGCACACCGTCGACACTGCGAACCGACAATTAGCGTATTAGGCACGAAAAGTTATATATTTTGTGGGTTGCAGCAATCCACTTTTTAGGGATCCGTACGCAAAGAATTAAACGGGACCTGGTATTACTAAGACTCAGCTGTCTGTCTGTCCGTCTGTCTATCTATCACTAAGCTGTATCTCATGAACCGTGATAGTTAGACAGTTGAAATTTTCACAGATGATCTTTTTATGTTTTTTTTTGCCAAGTGAGCAGGTGGTTCACCTGATGTTAAGTGAATACCACCGCCCATGAACATATGCTACACCTGAGGGTTTGCAGATGTTTTGACAACCTTTTGAAAATTGGGCTCCGGCTACCTCACCCATCACACGAAACGCGAAAGTATTATACTTCCACTCTACGCCGATCTTCTGTGAGGTCGTGGTACTTACCCGGACGAGCCTGCCCATTCGTGCAACAGTCGAGGCTGCTGCGTGGCCCTACCACTGTTACCGCTATAATAACAAATACTAAAAATAGAATAAAATAAAAAATATTGAAGGAGGCTCCCATACAAAAATGCGAGGCAGTTGCTAGGCAAACTATTGGTACTTACCAATTAGTTTATTATAGATAATGGTATGGAACCGTTCGTGTGCACTTTTTTAAAGGTTTTTATCACATCTGCAAGCCATTGGATATTGTAGATGACGGTATTCACTTAGCATCAGTTGAAATGCCTGCTCGCTTGACAAATCATCACATAACAAAAGAAATCATGTCTCTATGATGGTCTCTGTCATGATATATGAAAACTCAAAGGTCAAATACTTTTACTCGAAGGTTGCTTAATTGTGTAGCTAAAGCTTTTGACTAAACCTTTCATGCTTATTGTTATTGTTGTACTACAATAAATCATTCAGGGCCACACAGTGCCTAAAATGATGTGCAAAACATGACGCATTTTGGGAGTTGGAACGAGCTGGTTGGCATCCATGTTTCTTGGACTGCTGGTGCAAGAAAAACAACTGCATCTTAAAATGAATATGTTACTAATAAGTCAATTAAAAACATTCATTAGGTTTATACTTCGTTATACAAAATTATTGGTGTTGTCATTTGCGTAAATATGAAAATAAGATATACATTGTTGGAACATAACAACTCACCTACACCCAGAAGTCCATACTTCTTTGCTTCGGCTATTAACCGTATGGCTTTGGCTTCACTCCTAATGGGGATCCTCTCCAGCATGAGTTCGGCGCGTCTTAAGCCCTCGGGCGGGCACGACGCTAGGTAAGAAAGGCCTACAGACCACAGGGAATTATGGTCCATGAGCAACGAACCATATTCGAGGATAAGGCTGTCTCTTAATCGTTTTGTAACGCTGGAAATATATAATAATAAATAGAAATATAAATGAGGCTTTCTTAGAATTTGTAATAGACGTGGTAAGGTGAAACATATGAAAAGATCATGAGAATCTGAAATAATTTTTTATTTTTTGCATTGCCAATGTGTGGAGTTAAAACTGCTGATACTCACATAGGCAAAATAAGACTATATATGTACCATGTTATATTGTAAACTGATATTTATGTAAATGAGCTTTCTGAACCCGTAAGCTAACTTACTTACGAACTTATGTATTATTTTTATGTAAAGTTCCAAGTTTCATAAAAACGCATAAGCGTCTATTTGAATAAAGATATTTTGAATTTGAATGTCAAAGTTTCAAAGATTAACATCACAGTCATTGTTTCAAAGATTAACATCTCAGAACGAAATGCAATTATTATTTTAACAGCTTGTTAGAAATTTGGAACATTCTTAAAAGGATCTCTCTTCTGAAAAATATATCTACAAATGGGCTAATTGTGGGTAAATTTGATTCAAGCTGCGCCTGGACATATTGTCGAAGCACCCGCTGACGAACATCGACATCGAACAGCTTAGTGACTAGAGTTAGGGCACGTTACTCGCAAGGACCAGGTTCGAATCTAGAGGCAGCGAAATATTTTTCTACGATTTATTATCTACACAGTTGGCGTTTCATCTTAAGTGCAGTGATGAGCACTAAAAAGTAAAATATATTAATTGCAAAAATGTCATTTATACAAGGCAAGTGCGTTTTGCTGTAAAGGAAGCACATTAAAAGGCGTCATTGCAAAAATGCAATAAAAACAAATTAGATGAAAGATTTTTGTGTGGTGAGGATATCGCTTAGCTAGGACATCTGGGCGTAGACAAAGGTTCGAATCCTGAGACCGAAATTTTTCCACCGTTTGATTATGACAACTTACCACGATTTGAGTAGACTGATTTTAATTTATTGAATGCCATTCAAATGATTAATAATAAATTTTCGTTTGTTCCATGTTAAAGGCTACAAACAACACTTACTCAGTTTGGTGTTTATCCAGTATTTTTAACTTTCCACAATGAAAGAGGATGTCAGTGAGGTGTGTTGCAAACCAGCCGTTGTCGGACATTTGTTGTATTTCATGAATAACCTGGGGAATCAAAAACACAGACATTTTCAGAAACCCTAATGGTTTAGTGACTACCAATAAGGACTTAACATGGCAAACTTAGATGTCTCTGATTTGGTGATTATTGAAACAAACTATGAATGCATGAATAGCATAGTTAATGTAGTATGGAATAGTTTAGATGGCTACCGTTATATCGATTGTTGAGATAGTCAGTTGGATTCCCAAAACATAAATAAGTCTGGAACTCCAAAAAAATGCTAAAAAAACCATCAGGTGAAGAGTGGACCGCATGGCTCCAAAAGACCATAATGATTATCATCATTTCAGCCTGTTTGAGTCCACTCCTGAACATTGGCCTCCCCCACAGACTGCCACGAAGAATGATCCTGAGCCACCGGCAACCATCAACGAAAAGACAATCATCATCATCATCATTTCAACCTGTTCAATCTACTGCTGAACATAGGCATCCCCCAGACTGCCATTTGCATCCGACTTTCCGCACATTTGTACAGGTCGTCACTCCATCTAGTGGGGGGTCCTACACTGCGACGGCCAGTATTAGACTGCCAATCAAGAACCTTTCTTCCCCAGCGGTTATCGGTTCTACAGGGTATATGGCCAATGTCACTTCAGCGTGCTAATCTTCAGAGCTGTGTCAGTTACCTTTGTAATAAGAAGCAATACCTGGTGCAAATCGCCCTCGAGCAGCGCTCGCACCACCACGTCCAGGTGGGACTGGGAGTGGGGCCCGTCGAGGCCGGCGCACGCCGACGCGGCGTCCGCCAGCTCGCGCCGCCTCGCCCACGGCGCCGTGAACAGCACGTACCCGCCCAGCACGTCGAACCACGACGCGTATCTCGAGCGGATCGATTCGAACGCGCCGTATTCGCCGATCATGAGCTGTTGGCAAGTTGGCAAGCGCCGCTCAGTTGTTTATATTCACCAAATAGCTCTTTTATGTTTTTATTTTTTATTTGCTTTTAGCATTGCACATAAGTAGGTGCCGAGGTGGCAAACAGGCGTTTCACCAGATATCAAGTGATTCCATTGACATCTGCAACACCTGAGGGGTTGTCGATGGGTTGAGCACCCTTTCAAAAATGTGCACTGGTAAATTCACCTGATGAACGGAGAAAGTATAATGAGGTGGAAGCTCATGTTGGCTTGTTACTTTCCCAGATGAGCAAAAGAAAAAATTTGCAACACCCGTAGGATTGGATGCATTGCCACCTTTTAATAAAGTGGGCCCTGGCTAGCTCACTCACAAAAACAGAAGTGTTACACCTCTACTTCACGCTGGTCTTCTGTTAGGTTGAGTTACTAACCCTGATGGGCCTGCCCATTCGTACAACAGCGAAAACTGTGGCGTGGCCGTACAACATTTGTGTGACCTGTTGCAGATTTACATGTTATCCTCATTATAATTTGTGATTCTTATAATATATAAGTGTTAGGTATGTTATGATGTTATCATGGCACTCTCTCTCTCTCTTCCAAAGCTAATTATCCCACATGGTGGCGAGATCAGCTTTCCTTAGTTTTCTCTGTTCACTTTGCTCTATCATCGACACAGTCACAATTGTGATGTCCCTTAGCCACTACATCTCTCCATCTTCTTTTTGGCCTACCTTTGGACCTTTGCCCAGACACAGAAAGTTGCAGTGCCAAATTTTAACCATAGTTTGGTGACCTCCTGTTTACAAGCCCAACCCATCACAGCTTACTTTCCAATGCTTACGCCCAAGCTTCTCTTTTGATTTTATCTTGGCTGTTACCATGGCGCTAAGAAACATAATAAAAGAGTATTCAAAAAATTAAGACTAAGTTTACCCACCCTCATAATAAGTTCAAGCTTTGGCTGTGAACTCAGCACCTGGCTGTTTAGTTTCGACCTACACTCTGCCTGCCAATGCTTCCAAACTATTCTGAACTCTCCTGTTGATATGCCACCATAAACCTGAAAAAAATTAAAAAAGAAATATTATATTAAAAATTCCACACAATAAACCTGCAAAGCAGATGAATTTCTTGTACTTATGTAGTAAAAACATCTTTTAAAAATATATGCTTTTCAAAAAAATTATGTAAAAAAACTGTAATGGGAAAAATTAAAGAACCTTTTAATTGTAGATTTCACTGGACCAAAAAGGAAGACAATTTTGAGTCTGACAACTTCTGTTTATTCCTTACCATATTACTAAAAAAATTCTTATAAAATTTAATAAAAGATGCAAGCAAGTCACAATAACTTACACTATAAACTGGCATGGTGCGAAGTGAATTATCAATCAGTTTAAACTCATTTGCTTCAGACATAGAGTGAAGTTTTAGCAGAGCTCTTGCTACATCAATCCTGCCTTGAACAACCATCCCGATCACCGTATCCCAATACTCCGGATGGTCTTCTGACCCACGCTCACATGCTTCCAACAATTGAGCAGCAGTCTGCTCATGACATGGAAAGTGAAAGCGCACCCACTCTAGCAAAAACGGCAGGACTACATCACCCGGAATGCTGTCTATAAATAATATTTCACAAAGATGCCAAATACATTCAATGGAGTAAAATATCGTAATATATGACATTAAGCTGTTCTTTTCCAAACTGTCAGTCTCCTTTTCAGCGGCCTCTTGTAGGCTTTCTATGCAAACTCGCACTATTGATCGATATTGGCGGGAAAGTTTCAAAAACTCCACTTGATTGTCCGAATTTTTCGCGCTTTCTGCAGCCTTTTGTAACGATAAGTAGGTACCATTCGATTCGTTAACAAGCTTTCTTAATATCGAGGTAAATAGTAGTATCTCTTGCCGAATGTTCAAGATTTGGTTATCAATTGTGTTGACTGGATCTTTATTAACTTTCTGACTTCGTGGGTAAATTGTGAAAGTGTTTCCACGGCGCCATGTACAAGCAGCGTATTTTTCAAAACATGTATCTGGTAGTATCTGTGAAATAACAAAAAAAATCAAGGAAAACATACATAACCTTTAAAACCTTTTGAATATGTGTTACTTACAAATGTTTTTGTGCGGTCACTAGATCTTAATGTATTATCACTGTTAACGTTTGACGAAAACCCTGATAAATTCATTTTATCTTTTTAAGTTAAATAAATTAGAAGAAACTAGAAGAAACACTACGCGCGACCGTTTCCACAATTGAATTTACTTTTTTTTTATTTTCTGTGATATCTAATGACATTTAATGCTTGTTCATTGTTGCCACATTTTAATTTGCAAAAGGCGGATTGGTCTGATTTGATTTTTATGTGTCGAGGAAAGTATTCAAGTTTCTTCGTTATGAGTTATCTTTGTTTATCCGTATTTAATAATTTCATATTGTTTTAGCATGGATCTAAACGTAATCTTATAGTGCATCCGCAGGGAACCAGTGCCAACGTTCTGCAGGCGACCTTTTTGGTGCATAATTTTTTTTTCTCATTCCCTAGTCGACTCAAGCTGACTTTACCCGAGTGAACGTTAAAAAATTTAAATGTTTAACGTTTAAACATTAAAACGTTAAAAAAATTTCAAACATTACGGCTCAGTCTCATTCAATACCCACAAAAAAACTTAGTGTGCCTCAAGATGTCGCTTCAAAAAGAATTTATTTAGCTATACTTTTAAAACGTTACATTACCTTGCAGTATTAAGTGTTTTAATGTGTGAAGATGGCAAACGTACTGGTGGTTCACTTAATGTTAAGTGAAAACCGCCATTGACATTTCCAACACCCGTAGGATTGCAGATGCGTTGCCACCTTTTAATAAAATGGGCTTCGGCTTCCACTTTGCAAGTAAATATTAACAATTTGACCTTAAGAAGCCTCATTTTAAAGCTGATTTTAATACCGTATATGTACAGTTTCTACACTGTTATCATTATGTTTTTGAACATAGTTAACTGGTTCCAGTTCTATTTTGTCAGAGTCCAGTTCTATTTTGGAGAATAGAACCAGATTCGTTTCTCTATCAGAATTTTTTTAGTATAAGGTACATTTTCAATTTTGATAGGAAAAATAATGAAATGACTAATTAGTTATTTACAAAACCTCTTTATTGATTTTTTAAACAAATAATTTTGGATGCCTCCCATCTAAGGGGTACTTCTGTCAGGGCCGGGGTGACATCGGAGCAGCTGTAGTAAGTGGCGAAAATATGGGTCTCTTTGTTTCGATTATGTATTTGTGCCATTTACTGTTGAAATTTTGGGTTCGTGGGGTCCCGGTACATCGAAATTTTTGAATGGTTTACGTCTTAGGCTTAATGCCGCGGCTAAAAAGAGAGCCGGTTCTTTTCTCGCTCAAAGGTTAAGCATAACTATTCAGTGAGGAAATGCATCTACTGTTCTTGGCACCGTACCGAATGGATTAGGTTTACTATATAATACATAATATAAAAACAAATACATATATTTGTGTAAGCAACTGTTAAAAAAATCAAATATACCTTTATTAAATCAAATCAATAAAATCGTTTCTGAACATTTTTAGCACGCAACGTTGTAATTAACAAAATTAATATGAAACTTATATGTTTAATTGACATTTTTATCTATGTTTCTTCGCTTTAGGTCCCGTGTGTTCGATATTAATTTCATTTGGACCCTAGACTCCAAAAATACGTCAGGGAGTCATTGAACTTTTGAAAATCAAATAGAAAATGTGTGTGTGAGATTTATTGAGCTTTTATATTTTGTCGATGTTATAATACAACGACGTAGCGTGATGAATGAAAAAAAAAATCTTGCAACATTGAACTTATACGTTCCGGTTTACGATCCGGTCTTTTTTTTTTTGTTTTAACGTAAAGGTGTGCATGAAAATGGTAATTTGTTAATTTAATTTATAGTATAAATTTAAACTTTTACAGTTTTTTAATTATCGAATTTAATGAAGTTACATTTTTAACTGTAAATAAGAACATGGAAGTTACGTATGAGTAAAAATATTACAATTTAATATAACCTTTTAAGTAAATACCATACGGATTGGAATAGTTACAATAAATAAATTTATTTTAAATATTATCAAATAATTCATATAAATGACTTCGTAACCGAAACTGCTTATTTACTTTTTATTTGACCGGATGTACTGTTGGAGGACATGTTGATTTGTCATGAATGAATGAGACGATTTTGTCAATTCGTCAAAAATTGTTTTGTTTAGACTGAATTTGTACAAAATTATATAGTAAATTGTGTGATATAGTGTTGTGATAAGTGATTATAGTATAATGTGTGATACGTTTTTGTGCTGACGAATCGAGAAAAGGAAAAGTTAATTTAAATAGCACTATCCCATCAGCACTCTTTGGTAAGTTTACGATGTTGCATCAATTTGTCCTCGTCATTATCTTTTTATTCATCAACACGACCGCGACACAATTTCCTTTACCTTAGATCATTGAAGGCTACATCATTTAGAGAGAATTTAAGATTTTTGTCTAAAAGTAAACTTTTGAGGCCACTGAGTTATCGTCATTTCTCTGTTAATTTGGGTCGTCATCCAGGCTCAGTTTATTTGTTTGTGTATTTGGTTGTTTTGTGACGTCAGTGGTGTTTTAAGCAACAATCCAGTCTTTGTGCTAATGTGCTGTGCGATAATGATAACGCTATCTACAACTATAAGTGATATGATTTAGATAAATTGTTAGTGGAGGTTATTACCCGTGTTTAAAAAATTGTTTTCCACATAGTGTACGTAAATTTTGTCAGTGTCAATTTTAAATATAATTTTAACTTTGTGTAAGTAATGCTTTTAATATTAAATATTACTGTAATATTTAGCAACAGTAGGCTCTTTAGTTGATGATTGTTATATTCACCTTGATTTGCTTACCCTAGCATGAGTTTTATCTTGGTATTGAATATCAAAGTCAATTACCAGTCACATGACAACAAATAGTATGAGCAATTAATTTTAGCATCAGATTTCTTGTTGATAACAAAAAAGTATATAATGAAACAGGTTTAAATATGCAGATCATTTATAATTAATTAAAATACTTTGAGACAACCATTTTGTGTTATCTTTCTCTTGTATATTTAAAAATACAATCACAAAACACTACCAATTCGACTTATATTTAATATGTTCTTAAAATAGCTGGTATAATTATTTGAATTTTTTTATTGATAATTGTATCTGTGATACCTCAAAAAATTGTCAATTTTAGGTCAACCGGAAGTACCCTATAGGTTTTGAGTCGAAAACCTATATGGTGGTTCTTGTTGACCTATAATCACATAATTGGACAAAAAGCAAGGACACTTATAGCACAAATAAGGGAAAAATTCGGAAAAATAAAAAAAGTTGAAAATTAAGGTAACTTTTGGTACTTACAAGTTTTTGCGAACAGCTAAGTTTGTCCATATATTTTTATTGTGTTGACTCGGGGCCATGATTTTACCTAATATGGACTATAGATCTCAGTATCTGCTATAAATTTCAACCTTCTAGGTCCACCGTACCTGAGAAAATCAGTGGTGATTATTTACCAATTTTATTATGGCGGTATAATGGGTAGGTACGGAACCCTCGGCATACGAGTTTGACTCGCACTTAACTGTTCTTTTTTTAAATGGTCAATAGTCATCAACCATTTTGTTACAGCAACAATATAAGACTAAACTCTTTATTAATGTTTTGTTCGGTAACCATTGTAACATAAAAGTAAATTATGAACAAAATATCCTGTCCTACATTGGAGGCGTAAATCTGACCTCGCTAGTGTTTTATAGTCACAGTTGGCTTGGAAACAAAATGCATAGCCAAGTAGGTCAATTGTTTAACTTATCAGGCATTAACCTAAGGTGTTAAATATTTAAATGATGCATACAATGACAAAAATAACTTTATATTCTGTTTTTTATTAGCTGTATTTAAGAAATACACTACCAACTCTTAGGCTGTTTACTTCGAGTCAGCTATTTCTGTTTTGCCTTAGACTTATAAGCTTAATAACTATGAAATTTTCGATAGTTTCTTATATTTACATACCAATACTAAACATTTTTAATTTTAGTTCCTGATATTACATACCATGTTATAGGATGGGCAAAGGACACAGTCTGTCATTTAGTAGGTACTTTGAAACTAGTTTATTACTAGCTAATTGATGTTCCCGAGTGTGGCCCTTTTATATGTACTTGTTTTAAACCGACTTCAAAAAGAAGGAGATTATTCTTTGTCTCATTGGTTTTATATAAAAATAAAGGATTAGTTTTTGGAAGCTGATTGGTGTGAAGTCAATTTATTTATATATGCACTTCATGTGTGTGTTAAGTGGAGGATGCTCACACATACTGTTAGTGCCTGTCTTCACAACTTCAACATCTCTAGTGCTGTGTGTGTCCACCGGTGATGGTCCCCACATCATCAGGCGAACCGCTTGCTGTTTGCCATGTCTTTGATATGAAAATAATGAGAGTATCTGTAAGCAGGGGAATGAGACCTGCAATTTGAGCCGTCAACCGGGTAGCCTTACGTTATGAACACCTCACTCGGCGGATCGCGGATTGTTATCCGACTCAATTGGATTGTAATCAACGTTAAATGGTTTCGGTTACGAATCCTTACAACGGCCGCCCTATCGTTAACAATCGAATTTGTTTTCGTAAATGCGTTTAGTCGAACGGTGGCGGCGGTCGGAGGAGTGGGAAGCGATTCGGCAGTAGGGTACAGTGCTTGTAATATGGTTGAAAGCGGAGTACTGAACAAGGTAAGGGGCGATGCGATATTTTCAATGTCCCGTTCACAGTCACAGGCAGGGTCACGCAAGTCTTCGCTGCTGCACTAATGGGCAGGTCCGACCGAGGAAGTGCCACATACCTCAGACCGGCGGGAAGTGGAAGTTTTCGACTGGTGACTGAGGTAGCCGCAAGGTAGGTTGCAACGCATCTGCAACCCTACGGGTGTTGGTAATGTGCGGCGGCGGTTGTCATTCAACATCAGGTGTACCGCTGGCTCGATTGCCGTCTTCTAACATATAAAAGGAAATAGGCAAAGTTGGAGCTTTTTTTATCGATTGCAGCTGTTCTCGAGCATTCCAAGATTAATTGATGGACACCATTGCCATGCTCAAATCTC